TCAAACAACGAACCGTCCGGTAGCACCTCAGCGGCACCTAAGAACGATGAGGAGCCACAGAGTGATGAGAGTGGTGGATCGAAGCCAACGATAGCGGAATCAAATTTGACCCCATTGTCTAAGAATAACGACCCAAACAATGATACATCACCGGACGATATCGAAATTGAGCATCTGGATACCATAGATGAGTTGGAGGTGGATTCGGACGAACAACAGACCAAGGACATTGGGCAGAAGGAAGTAGCAGTCAAAGAATCAGAAACTCCAGAAGCAGTTGCTGGTCCTTCCGGCTTACCCTCGAATACACTGGATGCTAACTCAGACCCATCAACGACACCAGGGCTGAATAAAGCACACACAAACTTGGATACACAGCGGGTGAATTATGAGTCCCTACTGTCAAATCTACAGCAATTGCAGGACGAGAACGATGCTTTCATCCAGAAGATCAAGGCGATTCGTGTGCAGGGTACTGCTGCTGAGTTGGAACAGTTCAAGGACTCCGTAACACAACTAAGAGAACTAAGCCATGAAGCTGAACATATCAGAGGCGCGATCAAAACGACTCATCTCGAGATCAAACATATCGAGGATCAAGTCTTCGGAAAAGTTCAAAACAACGATGGCGAAAAGTCACGACGCTCGATCGACGAATACCTGCGAGACACTCGTGGCATTGCACTAGAAACACTGAGCATACATCTCATACCTGTAAAGGCATCCGTTCTATCTAGAGCTATTGACCTGAAGTGCATTAAGAACCTGACCCTACTTAATGTTGGTAATCAGGGCCCAATCTGGACATTGCTCTCCAAAGAGAACAAAGTCTCTCCATTGGCCTTAAGGAGTGTCTTTACCGACAATGTTTCGACTGCATTCCTCAACTGCATGTCCCAGCTTGAAGAATTACACGACTTGTTCTTATTGGAGCGAAGCGCTAAATATAAGCCCGAGAGTTTCGCACCACGAACTACCGTCACGATCGACCAGATCCGTCGGCTCGTCCTAAAGAAGCACATGCACTCACTCAAGAGACTCATGATCAAGGACGAATCAAACAGCAGCACCTGGGATGCAAATCAGAAGGCAATGATACTTATTTGTAACCGTGGTGTGCAGCTCGAGGAGCTGGCTCTTAGCATGAATATCCATGCAGTGGTAAGTTGGTATTATCAGAAGTCCGATCAGTCACTGACACCAATATTAGCACGCCTTCATGCAGTATTTCGCTGGACTAGTCAACCTGCGTGCTATAAACATCCTTCGATTCAGGAATAACGACACGTGTATATGGGTCATGCGGGAGATTCTGAACTTCATCGTGGATAATCTCTCTCACCATCCCGAGCTGAAGCTGGAGTGGATCGCTATGGAGGACGATCGTCTCGACAGGGTCATTCGCCCTACGGACGCAATTGAAGAAGGGGAGAAGAGAAGAGGCAAGGGCAAAGAAAAGGCTACGGTTCATCCACATCACAACAGCAGCAATCTGCCTGTGCTACCATCCTGGGGTTCCGATAGCGAAAGTGAGGACGATGATGATGCCTCGAATTGTGGAAAGAGGCTTCGACTCAAGACTGTCGGAGTCCTGCAGTTCTATGAGGTTTGGGGCGTCAAAATTTTTGATAAGGAAATTCGATCTGGTCGACTATGAGGTTTAGAGAAACCTCCCAACTGTGGAGTTGCTTTTGGTGACAAATGCTACCCAGGGTGTGATAGCAAGACGGCGCTTTGGGTTTTTGGATCAGGGTAAACTGGATGGGATAAAGATGATGATGGATAAATGGGGTCGGTGAATCTGGACCTGCATGTAACTTAAAGAGCGTCACTTATTTTTGCACTTTACATCAGGCATCTACAGCTTCTTAGTGGTGACTAGAGCAACGCTGAACCTTGATCTAGCTGGATGAATGTCATTGGCCGCTTGTCTTCATGAATCTTCCCAGTACAAATAGTCTTGTTCACATGTAAGGAAAATACTCAAAAATCCTATAGGATACAAATGCCACCCTTCAGACTTGTATAGAGCAGGGTGCAAGGAATAGTTCAAAAGGGATTCGGCACAATGGTATAATATCTCCAACAAAGCCGAAACTGGGTTGGTGAGCTATAGGGTAGCCAAAGCTTCTTTGATGCAAACATTTGGTCACGATTCCATACTCAGAAGGGTATGAAACTCGTGATGAATGAGCAGCACCATGTAAAATGATAGTGATACATAAAGAGATTTTTACCTTGGACTAGACGTAAGCATTGTCATGAGAGCAATATAAGAGTGACAAATTTTGAATTTGACTATATTGTTACCAATGTTGTATTGCATAGCTCAGGCATTATCTTGCACTGGTTCTCATCTCATACACTATTTTTGTTGGTCCGCATCATCAAGAGCAACTCCGTAACTTAATCATTTCGCCGTGCCTGATTCTAGGTCTGGTACACTCAACAAGTACACTGCCCTTAAAAAAAAGAAAATCGCGTATAAACCCTCGGGTGAGGAGGCAGGTATCTAAACTAAAGGATGTATATTTACAGCCTGGAGATGATGGCAGCGGCGTATTCGTTGGTCTTGGCCTTGCCGCCGAGATCACCAGTGAGAGCCTTGCCTTCGGCAAGAGTATCGAAGATAGCGGTTTCAATGCGGGAAGCGTGCTCTGTGAGCCCCATGTGTCGCAGCATCATGATGGAACTGAGGAGGAGGGCAGTAGGGTTGGCAAGGTTCTTGCCAGCAATATCGGGAGCGGAACCGTGGACAGCCTCGAAGATGGAGCACTCGTCACCAATGTTTCCGGAGGGGGTAAGACCGAGGCCGCCGATGAGACCGGCACACATGTCGGACAGAATGTCACCGTAGAGGTTAGGCATGACAAGGACCTTGTCGTTGTAAGGAGTGGGGTCAGTGACCATCTTGAGGCAGCTGTTGTCGAGGAGCTCAGCGTCGAATTCAATACCGGGGAAGTCCTTGGCAACCTCCTGGGCAACCTTAAGGAAGAGACCATCTGAGAGCTTCATGATGGTAGCCTTGTGGACAACGCGGACCTTCTTGCGGCCAATGGACTCAGCGTGCTGGAAGGCGAATCGCAGGACACGCTCGGAAGCCTCACGGGTGATAAGCTTGATGCTCTGAACGACGCCATCGACGACAACATGCTCAATACCAGAGTATTCACCCTCAGTGTTCTCTCGGATCAGGACGGTGTCGACATTATCATAAGGGGTCTCGTAGCCAGCGACGGATCGGCAGGGTCGCAAATTAGCGAAGAGGTTGAACGTTCGTCGGAGAGTAAGGTTCAGAGAGACATGTCCCTTGCCAACGGGGGTCTTGAGAGAGAGATGTTAGCCATTTGGTCATGAGAGAGACGCAGACCGTGACAAATTTGCGGTCATGGTGACGTACAGCGAGGGGACCCTTGAGGGCGATCTTGTTCTTCTGAATGTTCTCAATGGCAGCATCGGGGATGGCAGTCTTGCCGTCCTTGATAATGGGGGTAACGTCGACAGGCTCCCAAGCAATGGGGGTCTTGAAGAGACCGTGTTAGCATAACTGAACTGTTTTTGTTTGGTGCGACTTATGCGGGTGGGCGAGTTGTCATGACGAACCTTTGCGGCGGCGAAGATGTCCTTGACGGACTGAGAAATCTCGGGGCCAATACCGTCACCCTCGATCAAGCTGACCAGGAAGTTGCCCTGCGCGACAAGTCAGCAAAAACATCTCCTCAATTGACTGAAGCCAAGCATTGTGTTGAGCGAGACTGAGTTATTTTATCTCGGCACCTTGCTCGGCCCAGCCGAGCGCTAGGATCATCCAAAAGGTGTTTTATGAGGGAGCGCAAAACGTACATTGGCATCTTTGGTACCGTTGTACTTGGCGACTCGTTCGCCAGAGGTCGAGTAGCATCGGTTCTGTAGAGAGGGTGTAAGCGAATGCCCATGTTGTGCCCAAATTGCATCCAATGTTTGGATAAATTTGGGGTAGTTTTGGTGGTGATCTCATACGTAGAAGATAGCGGCGCGGGGGGTAGCAGCGCGCAGGGCTTGCCTGGAGGCGGGAGTTCGGAGAGCTCGAATGGCCAGCATTATGAAGAGGAGCGAGCAGAGAGACTAGCTAGACAGAGCTGGAGAAAGAAGAGGCAATGTAAGGCGAGGGTTGGAAGAGAGGGTGAGGGTATAATGGGAAGAGCGTGACAAGAAAGATCAAGAAATAGAAAAGAGGAAAGATTAACCCAGGTCAATGGAAGAAAACAACCTCGCCCAAACCCAACCACAACCACAACCTACCACAACCACACACACCCCAAACCAGACCAAATCCGAATGGCCAATGCTGCTTTCATGGCAGTATAGCCACAGGTTGATAGTCTGAGCAGGGCCACTAGCCACTGAAAACAACGGTAGGCCAAGGCATTTGCGGCGCCTAGCTCCACTGACCCTCCACTTTTTCGCGTCTTTTACAGTGGTTTCAAGGTTCCCTTTCGGCTACAGCCTCGTATCCCGCGCGGACTTCCGCTCTATTGCTAGGTACAGGTTGATATTTTTTTCTTCTTTTCTTCCCGTCCTTCCACGGGAGCGTTCACAATCCAGAAGCCTTCTCCGAGCAACGAGGGGCCGGTGGGCACCCGTAGCTCACCTGATGTTTCACAGGGAAACCACAGAAATGCACGTCACAGCAATAAGTGACGCCACAGCTGGACTGCCACACTTGAACCCCACAGCCTGGGCATTGCCCAGCCACATACACCTTGGGCCCCGTCTATGTAGGTACGCTTCTAGCTCACCATAACACTAGATCTCCAAGCACCTATTCACAGCAACATCATCTGTGATATAATAGACCCGTGCAACATTGCGCGTGTGACATTCGCTATTAAATCATCTCCCCCAGACTACAGAATAGTTCGCAAAGATAACTGCGCCGACCCGGCGCAACCCTGTCTGACCCTTATCGAGTATGCGACTGCACCCCTAAGTTCTAACTCAAGATCATCATCAGAATCACCATGGCCGATACCGAGCGTACGATCCTCGATTTTTACCAGATTCCTACTCTGTATCCTACAGAATGGCCAGCTGAGAAGGACCTGGAAGACTTGGACGATGATGATGAAGGCGAGAAAAATGCTGCTATAAAAAGAAGACAGTCCCGTTATCAGGCGCTCGAGAGAGCCGTGAGCCAACGAAGGAGCAACATTCCCAGAGAAGACGACCAAGGAGGCGTTGGAAACATTGTTCAAAAAGACGAGCCGGATCCGCTAGGGACTACCGATAGCGTCGTCAGAACACTGAAGCATCTTGGTCTGCCCCTCCAAGATGACCACCGACTACGTATGCTCCCGTGCCATGACTGTACGATTCACGGATATGATAGATTGACGACGTGTGGCTAAACCAGGCAATCGATTCCTACTCTCCTCAACAACATTCTCGCCAGCTCTCTTCCTCTCCCAGATGCATGCTACTGCCGACACTCGGAGTCTCCTTACTGGTCTCGATGTTCTATCACAATCCATCGATCAAAAGTCAGCGTCCCTCAAGGTCCTCGTCGAGACCAACTTCGAAAGATTCGTCAAAGCCAAAGCAACAATAGATAATGTCTATAAGGAGATGAAATACCGCGGAATGGAACCACCTGACGCCAATAATGCGCACTCCAATGCAGCCCAGCGTCGCAGTTATCGCAATAGTGTGGCGGGCGGTGCTGGGTTAGGAATTAACAATCCCCTGACATCTCCTAATATTGACACGCGTAAAAAGAATGCACTGACAAAAGAGAGCGAGTACGGCGTGCTGGGAATAAAGGGCCCTCTACTGGAAGTTTCTGCAAAGGCTGAGGACGTATGGGGACCTGCTTTAGGAGGAAGAGAGAAGGAGGAAAACCTCAAAACCGTTTCAAATCATCTCACAAGATTCAAGGACTACGTTGAGCTGAGCACGTCGATAGCAGACAGCATCAAACGCAAGGACTATGAATCTTTAGTCGACGAGTTCAGCAGGGCAAGGAAGATTGCAGACGAAGCTCGACGATTGACAGAGGAAATAGGGGACGAGACACCAACAGAGCCCCAACTTTACCAGTTGTTGATAGCGGGACGCATGTGGTACGATGTTGACCAGCAGATACGCGCCTTCAAACGCGACATCTGGAAGAGGCTGGTCACTCTTCACACCGCATCCAGGACGGATGGCACAACTGGCCGTATTCAAGACCAACATATGGAACTCATCGGACTGCTTCTTGAACTTGGCGCCGATGACAATCCCATCTGGGTGTGGCTCTTGAGTCGATACGACCATTTGAAGGGCAAAATTCAATCGACAGCAGACCGCTCAAAAGTTGAGATCGAGGTGCTTCGCCGCCGGCTGGCCAGTAACGATAAACCGAACCCCAATATCATCGCTGCGCATCTTCGATCCCTAGGAAGGCCGGTGATTGAGGATAAACCTTTGACATTCGACTCGCCTGAAGTAATTGAGCTCTGGGAGAAGATGTTATCGTTCCTCAACAGTCTCCTGTCAAGTGAAGGTATTCTGGGTGAGGTGATAGAGTTCTGGCAGACAGTGCAGGGGTTCATCAATGGGTCTGCTCAAGCCGCCCTCCCCGTTGGATATCGCGGCGAGTCTCGGCATCACCATGAACTCTCACCGCAGAGCGTTGACGAGCTACGAAAAGGAGCTGTGGAACTAGTGGACTTGCTCCGAGAACACACTTATTCATTCTTCGTGGATATGCCTCCCGAAGATGTATCACTGCTATTCTCACCAATCCCCAATACGCCAGCCCCGACGACGCCCGGATCCGCCGCATTGTCGTCTCCAAGAGATCCTCGCTTTAATTTCGATCCAAACAACATGCCTCCTCCGTCGCCCAAGAGGGGTGAAGTCTGGGAAAAGTTGGCATTCTGGCCTCCGTGGTCTAATTCCATCAGCGGTGTTCACTACCTGTCGAAGATGCTGACTTTAGTTGGCGCTGGAGCTGGTGACCTAGCGTGTATTGAGCCAATAGAGTCCGGAGAAGGCCAGGTGATTGATCGCCTTAGGAGTCTTGTTGGGGGTTCCCGAGAGCGATGCGTGACAGCTTTGTGCGCAGCCTGGAACAGAGATGCCGAGAATATTAAGTATGTTGAGGACTGGCAGCGCTCGGTTGAGATGGGAGACGTGACACGAATGCCAGCTAGCTTCGCTGCCTTCGAAGGAGCAGTCCTATCAGGCATGCAGAAAATACTCTACATCCCCGACGCCATGTCCAGGTCAGGCTCGGGAGATATTGTCTTGCCACCTCCGACCAAACTTCTCATGATGGTCCGCAGCCAGTATGTTACCACTCTGTACAAGGCATTGAGTGGCATGGTCGAAAACGCCGAGCGCTCTTTGAAGAAGACGGAGGACGATTGGTTAATCGATAGCGAGAGATCGCTTGCATTGGCTGCGGCGCCGAGCATGGCGGGCAAAGGGGCATTGGACTCAGGGGATAGGGTAGGCCTTCTACCACGCACTTGGAACGAATTCACTGTACTGACAATTTTATTTAGAACATTCGCATGCTCATGACCCTGAGTAACTTGTCATCATTGCGGTCACAAGTAGTGCCAAGTCTCAACTTGCAATTTGAGAACGCCTTCTCTGTCAAGTTGACTGATGAGTCCAAAAAGATCCGTGAGGTTCTTGGACAGATTCACGAACGTCTTTTCCAGTCCTACACGAAACAGTCAATCGAAAGGCTTCGCGATGTCATTCAATCTGGCATCTCAGCCCCTGACTGGGCTCCTGGCCAAGGGCAGCGTACCCAGGCAGCTAAACCATATGTCTACGAGGCGCTTCTTACTCTCGTACTTGTCCACTCTCAGGTTTCTACTACTGCGCCGGCTCTTACAGTCGAAGTCTTGTCATTCCTCCTCGAACAGACGTCCACCCAGCTCCTAGAAGCCTTCCGACGTCGGCCGCGATATACTCTAGAGGCACTCATGCAAGCAACCCTCGACGTAGAATTCGTTGCCCAGACCCTCAGCCACTACACTTCGGAGCGTGCTTCGGAGCTTCAGAGCCAGATCTATCAAGAGCTTGATGCACGTACGGACAACGAGGCCCGCGCACGTCTCCAAGGTGAACTGTCCGAAATGCGCAACGTTCTCAAACGTCTGAGAGAAGCGAGCAAAAATGAATTTGCTTGCTTCAAGAAGCCAAAGAGGCTAGGCCACGGCCCAAGCAGGAATAATAGCGGACTCTCTGGTATCTCAGCCTAGAAGGCTCAGGATCCGCATATTTCCAGCATATCAAGCAACCAAGAGCTGGAGGATGATAGTTACACGACGGCCATGGACTCGACGGTTTAGAGTGCGCTCGGTGAAGAGGTCTGTGTATTTAAGAATACGTAGTACTGGAGCATAAGCGAAGTGAACCATGGTCAAGTTTCTTCACTTTTGCAAACCCGTCCTATCGCTGAAAATATCATCAAAGAACCCCGAGGTATATTGTTTCTTGTTTTTTTTCTATACCGTGAACGCCGTAGCTGAGCCACTACCCCTGATTCTAATTGGTTTTTGTTGACTTTTCCTGCTCCCTCTCATAACGTTGGGCCAAAGGCACCGTGCCTAGCCATACATAGGTGTAGTATATATCGTGTGGTATCAAAATTCATATTCTTTTCCGTCCAGTCATTAGCCATTAAACGGTTCAAATCAAAAACGTCTTCCCCGTGCGGGATTTATGTCAATATACTCCGTTCGCAACGTTTGCAAGTGTCATAAGCATCGGCCTGTGAAGAATCGTTCAAGGAGTGTTCGTAATGAGAAGGTGAGAGCAGAGAATCATCTCGAGAGACCGAGAGTCTGCTGGGGAGAAGGGAGAGCCATCTTGGCGGGCAAGTATTGTGTCATCTGTTACAGTGTTAGCCGGTTATTACAGTGGGATTAGAATGGATGGTACTCACAGTCCAAATCGATGCTTTGGAAGTAAGTTCCTACGACAGGGTCTTGTTCCGAGGTGACCAACTTGCCCGTCTCACTGCGAAGTGTTTGTGGCAGGGCTTTGCGGATCGCCAGAAGCATCTTCAGCAGCCCTGCTAAATTACCGCCCTGCTGTGTGAAGACACTCGGGTCTCGTTCTAGGGGCCACCCAGGGCGTAGATGATCTTGCTCCCAAGCCTTGAAAGCCCAAGTCGATTTCTCAAGACAGTTGAGGAAGATGATAGCCGTCAGATACATCTTGAAGTTCACCTTGACCTTGCTGTCCTGAAGTACGCGATGCATTCCGCTGAGCAGTGCCTTTGAAGTGTTGTTGGCCTTTCTCTCAGCTGCCGCATTCAGTTGCATGCAAAGGGTCGTGTAGATGTCAGCATCGTTCTCGCTTTTGGCTTCTTGGATGCGCCTGGGATCTTCATTCTTATCGGCTGGTCTCTCAATAACGTTCCACTGCCTCTCGCGATCGATGCTCTCCACCAAACCCCATAGCTCCAAGGACTTTCGAAGTAGATCATCCTCTGACTCTTGCAATTGCTGAAGAGCAAGACTCAGAGTGACACGCATGAACTTGGAGGGCTCTCGATCGATAAAAAGCTGAAAGACATCGCGCATATAGGCCTCAACCTTGCCAGGAACATCTTCCTTGTCCTGATCGATCATAATAACCTGGAAGAATGAATCCTTGCTGCCTCTGGATTCTGCTAGCGACTCGCTAGGCTCTAGCAGTGCAACTAGAGCTTCGAGGAGTATGACCTTGCCAGTTTCAGGAAAGTGCGAAACCTCTATCATGGTACCATCATGGGTCATATTCAGCTGGTTCTTCAAGAGGTTGATACGATTTTGGGACAGGACAACCTGGACACCCGCCGAGTACAAATCGAGCTGCTCCTGGAGCCTCGTTCGCACACAACCAGTCCTCCACACCCTTGGTGCGAGAACCTTCCTACACGTGTCACATGGCGTTCCTTTGCCGCAATTCTTTCGAAGGATTCTGCATCTAATGCATGCACCTATTTTCCGAACTTCCTGCACCTCCTTTCGCCGCGCAGCAGTAAAGCGGGATCGCGCGTGTCGAGGCCTCCCATTAAGTTGACCATCGCTTGTGTCCATCCGAACACCACCCCTGCTCATCTGGATAGGTGTCGGTGGATGTTCGTGAAGTAAAGGAACAGGAGAGGCAGTCGCCAAGTATGTCATTTCGCCCCATGGTTGCGAAATTCCACTGTCGGGAGCTGTTACAGCACTGGGAGAGGCTTCTATCGGAGTCGGAATGTCCATAGACGGCGGTGTAGTCGAGGTACTAGTCTCGTGAACGAGCTGGGGGTCAAGAAGCGACGGGTTTAGCCTGGCTGTAGCAGCAACAGCGACCGATATGTTCGAGACGTCTGGGGAAGCAACGCTATTAGGAAGCAATGCTTGAAGTCGTTCCTCGGGTGATAACTCGGTTCCTGGGAGTGGTTGCTGAATCGCACCTAACACATTTGTTGTGAGAAGCGCGCCTTGCAAGTCAGGCTCTAAGGGGCCATTACCTCTGTTACCCTGCTGTGACCGGCTCTCGTAGCTCACAGGAGGGTTATCTAGAGTGAACTGCTCATGAAGCTCGAAGCGATCTGGAACATGCTGAGCGTTGGTGGGGTCGGCGGGGTCAACCACGCCTGCCTGTACGCTCTGAGCACGATTGTTCTCGTTTAAATCAACCTGTCGTGAGGCTTCGGCGAGTGTCTCGAGGGCGCTCCACCCTTGAGGGAGGTTCGGGACATCGACTGGCTGTCCGTTCGGCTGCGCTTCAGGAGGTGGTCGATCGACAGATGCTCGTGCATTGGTGATACCATGAAGTTCGAGGCATGCTCGCATACGATCTGACTCGGAGATGGCGGGACATTTCTTGGTGATGTGCGTTGTCAAGCTATCGATCCTTCCCTTTGGGAAATTCTCACCGCATTGTTTGCACGTATGCGGATATCGGTTACTGTTGTCGTTGAGCTTGGGTCCACGGACGAAGTACTCGAGAATGAGGGGATTGGGCTTGCGGCCCATTGCGCGCTCTGGGGAGTCGTTGCAAGCGCGTCGCCCGCAACCTCAACCGTCCAGACGTCTGATACGCCGTTTCCACCAGAGGCCAGTGCCGTAAGTCCAAGAGGCTTCAGAATGGCTGCAGGATTGATAACGTAGGGCTGGGATTTGATGATAGAATTGTGCCGTTGCTACGATTCTGCCTTGACAGACCGACAAATTTCTCACACCGCCTGTAGACGCGGATTTGTGGTTTGTCCGGTCAAGTTGAGAGCTTGTCTGATTGGTAGAAACCCTCCGAAGCCTGGGTGTCGCATTCTTAGTCATTCTCCATCTGAGACCGCGGGGCATCGAAAAAAAAAAGCGAACCCCGCGATTCAGCTATCATCTATTATCAGGCGTTGTTGTCTGCAGATATACCAGGTTTTCAATTGCTACTGAAAAAATACTCTCAAAATGAAGAACATTCAGCGTCTCGAATTGCCGGCTGCGGCTGACATGCATGTCCATTTACGTCAGGGCGATATGATGGACTTGGTTGTTCCCACGGTTCGCCAAGGAGGAGTCGATACGGTATTCGTGTACAGACTCTGGACTATAACAAGATTGGATATTAAAGGCTAATATAATATAACAGTATGCCTAATCTCGTATGTCGTGTCTTGTAGTGATGCTGTTCAAAACTCATGATTGCCCAACGGTTTGTATGCATGACCGCTGACACATGCCATGAATAGTTGCCTCCTCTTACTGCCGTCGAGCAGGTACGTATTCATAACACGGCCTTAGTAGATTCTGCAAGATCGAGCCTGACGTTGATGCCTGTAGGTTCTCGAGTACAAGGCCAAGCTCACGGCCATCACCCAAGATGTCAACTTCCTCATGTCACTCTATGTGAGTTTCAACCCACCCTATACTACTAGTCCATCCCTAACTCGTATGAGCTTCACCCTTCAGTCACTCCTGAAGTGATAGCTGAAGCTGCCGAAGCTGGTGTAACCGGTGTTAAGTTATACCCTCAGGGTGTGTGATCCTGTCCAGTCATCAAACTCTAACCACTTACATCGTCCGTGTAGGTGTAACCACCAACTCTGAGAGTGGTGTATCGGATATTACAGCCTTCTATGACACTTTTGCCGCAATGGAAAAGCACGGGATTGGTAAGAACCCTAAGAAATCCTGTCCTAGGCTGAACTGACCGTTGTTCTGTGCTAGTCCTGAACATACACGGAGAAGTCCTCGAGTCTCTTGCGCCGGCCGACACAACCCTCGAGGAGGCTTTCCTCCCAACCCTAAAACAACTCCATGACCGGTTCCCTCAGCTACGCATCGTGGTACGTCTGCCATACTTACGATCAGGATGATGATTGTTAACCTCTGTTCCAGCTTGAGCACTGCACCACCTCCGCTGCTGTGGAGGCTGTCAAGGCCTGTGGCCCAACTGTAGGCGGTATGGTGTCAAGTAACCGATGCTAATGATGCTCAACCCTGACCATTTTCATAGCTACCATCACCGCTCACCACCTTTACCTCACTTCTCACGAGGCCTGTTGCGATCCTTTCGCCTTCTGCAAACCTATTCCTAAGAAACCAACCGACAGAGATGCCCTGATCAAGGCTCTTGTCAGTGGCAACTGCAAGTTCTTTTTGTAAGTCTCGGGCTCGAGTTGAAGCTAAGTTCTTGTTTGGTACTAATTCTCCGATAGCGGTAGCGACAGCGCTCCCCATCCCCTTCAGTCCAAGACATCTGCTGAGCAGGGTAAGGCACCTGCTGGCGTTTTCACCCAGCCCTATGTCGTGCAACTTGTCCTCCTTGGTCTCGAGGAAGCCATCGACCGTGGCGTCATATCGGAAGCTGATGTGACACAAGAGATACTCGAAAACTTCCTCAGTCGTAACGGACGTCGCTTTTACAAGCTACCCGAGACCTCTGGTAAGAAGATTATCCTAGAGCGTAAGGGTGACAAGATCCCCACCAGCATCAAGAGTGCGGACAGCAAGACTGAAGTTGGTATCTCGCGACATGGAGCTGAAGTATTTAGTTTGACGTGGGCTTGAGACATGGCTAACGATTCAAAACGGGGTGAGGTGTAACGTTACGTAGAACTATGGATCAAGGTGTCAAAAAGCAAAGTGTGTTGTTATTCAAACAGCGTTTCATGTTTCGCCGGTACCAGTAAAGATGCAATGCCGTGCTACCAATAGAGCAGATATGAAAGCAACGTAAACTGACAGCCATAACTCCATGCTATGCTCTCAAGTTTCATATAACCCAGGCGGACATACGGGGTATTTGATGTAAAATGCAGCCCTTTATCTAGATTCTTCATCCCTACCCCAAACATTGCGGAATTCGTCCTGGTCTATTCCATAACCTGATTGGTAATTGGACGCTGCATGGGTTTCTTGCTGATTTCGATCGTCGCTCCAGGCTCTAGATTCTTCATTTTTGGGACTTTCGTGTCCATCCTGCCCACCAATTTGGGCGGTTTCTGCAGGAGCAGGAGGGCCCTTGTTCAGGCCCAGTTCGCCTGGGTCTGGTTCGGCATGCTTGACAACTTTCCTTGGTTTCTTTTTCTTCTTGATCGGAACAACAGCTTCAGGTTGAGGCTCCAGCTGGGGTTGGGAATCACGTCCATGTCCTCGACTCCTTTGTTTCCCTTTGTTTGTTGCGGGAGGATACTCTGTTGCCGGCGACCTCACGGATGGGCTAGCATAAGCTGAGGACCTCGTACCAAAGCTGCCAGGAGAACGGTATCGTTCTCTCAGCGGTTCACTGGCGGTAATGACTGGGTACTGTCTCATATTAGCGGCATAATTGCATGGTGACCAATCACACTTACATTCCAATCGCCATACTCCAATTGGCGAGCTTGCTCGTACAGGCGATCCTCGTCAGCATCTATCTCTGGTTCCTCAAAGGTACCGTGTATGTTTTCGTTGATCTGATCGGGTCTGTTGTCACTTGATTCCCCATTCCCGCGGAGAAGAGGCGTTGTTGAATTTACCTCCCCAGGCTTTGGAAGCCAGTATTTCCCCTTTCCACCACGCTCGTATCGCATACCTTCTTTGAGTCTTGCAAGACGAGACTTGGAGTCTTCGTGAGCCATGACCTTGTCACCAGAATCGAAGATTCTGTAGCCGTATGTATCTCCCCGGAAAGTCAATTTCGAATCTTCAATAAGATCCCTCACTCCAAAGGCATCTTTGAAAGCGTGGCGCAAGGGCATGCGCGCGGATAGAATGCTGTTATCAGCGAAGTCGTGCCATGAGAAAGCGTACCAGTGGGCAACAGCAAAGATAGGCATCTCCACGCAAATAAGAGCGTCCTGAATAGCCGCTGCCAGGTTGTCGGAGGTGTAACCCTCAACATTATCAGGGATAGCACCCAAGAAAACAAGAATTGACAGGAAAAAGCCCTGCCAGTAAGAAGCAAAAATGATGAGCTTAATACACAGGAACTTGGGCACAGGCCTGAACGGCTTCAAGTCATGATTCATGCAGACCCAGAAGAGACCAAGCGCATATAAACTGACAGTGACACTAATGTTGTAAATGATACCACTCCAAAGGTATCCCGAGCTCAGACCAATATAGCCCTCTTGATATGTGCCAGTCGCTTTCATGATAATAGCAGATAGGGCAAGAATAGGCTTGAGCCAGGCATACTGAAGAATGCCGCGCTTGATGGATAAAAACGTGTGGGGATCCGAGATGTCAACCTTGGGAAGAACGTGGTTGAGGGGCCAGAGGTGGTGTACTGGAGCTCGACCATGTGTCATAATGATGAGAGATCGCTCACCACCAAGGTAATTGATGAGGAGCTGAAAGAAGGTATATATTGTGAAGGCTTCGTAGATATCGCGGACCGGATCAAGAAACGCAGCGGCTTTCAAAGAGACCATGCTCGTCCATGATGCTATCGAGTATATAGGAACCATGAGAAGGATTCTAACGACGTATCTTTGCAGTAAGGGTTTACGGTAGTTTTTAGCCTGTAACATGATCGAGCTGGAGGCTCAGGTTAGCTACAAGTATCATCATGGGTGACGCGACGAGGCCATACATAACAGATAGTATTGTCGCGACCACAGAAGCGATGCCCGCGACCACGGTTGTGGCATAGGTGAGCTTCTGGCCAGTACCGCCATCCGCCATGATCCCAGCGTATCCTTCCATTTCTGCCCGAATTTTGTAGTACGGCAGGTCTGATATGAGAAAGCGTAATGGCTGAATTGTCTTAACGCATGACGGCCGGTTTTCGCAAAGTATTTCGGTGAGCTATAGATGTCGCTGACAATACGTAACAAGAGACCGAATATGAAAATGTGTCGACGATACTTGAATCCCGTCAATGACCACGCTTTCAAGCTTTCGTAGGAACCGTGTGTTGCTTGGCCATGTAGTCACAGTTAAAGCTTGAATGTTGGGGCAGATGATGTATTTGCTGCCTTGAGTGTGGTACGTAACAGTGTCTGAGGAATGATAGCTCCGGGCGGCGGCTTATCGTTCATGCGCCCGCATGCCTGCCCGATATTGAAGACCCATATTGAGACTAGCCGACCAAGCTTCGTAATTAGCAGAAATAGTCTATTTGCTCTAGTGACTGAGGAGTTCGCTAAATTGGTAGTTAATACGGAGTAAAGCTGTTCAAAATGAAGGAGAATGATCGCCCCCTCACTCTAGGTTAGTGCCATCAACTGAACGTGGTGACATGCAGGCAGCCTCATACTGAGCCGTCGTACTTATAAGATGGAAGCTTGTACGGATACATAGGTATGTCCACTGATGCAATTGCGGGACGGGATAAAGTGGACGCTAAACACTTTGGGGAGCCGGACGCTAGAATCTCCAGCTCGGCCACTGAAGCCAAGCGATGTCCAGTGGCTCCACTACCCTGCATCCGCTGAGTGACAGGGGCAGAGGCCTACCTTACTTCAACAACCGTGCTGCCGTGGTCGCGAATTGGTTAGGTTCTTTCATTGTGAGCTGACAGCCCATACTTGTAGGTTTTGACCGACTCCAACATCCCCCAGCTACTAGCCAGACTTGCTATGTATGGCTGACTCCCGTCACTTACAGACTTTTGCGCAAATATCGCAGCTCTGTAACCACAAATTAATAAAACCTAATAGTATAATGCGACTCATCTCCTGATCCTTTAGTGGAGCCCCGTGAGCTCCTTCGAGTATATTCAACATGAACATCACCATGCCTGGCCTCAACAGTGCAATTGTTGTAGCCAGGGCCGCTGAAGGAAATCCCCAGTTCAACTAGTATGCTCCCAAGCACCGAAGAACCCGTTAAACTACTGCTCACATACAATAGTAAATTCCTTATTTTTATGGCCTTGTGCTGTTTCCTGGCGATATTCTTTGTCCTATACTTCAATCGACTCTTCGCGTCGATCGTCTCCTACGCCCTCCGAGCTTATACATGGCACCACTATCGAGTCTACATAGATGTCAAGGCTATACAGATATCCCTTCTTGGTGGCCGAGTCTTCTTTACAGGTTTGCGATACCATGGCGAGAACGAGACGTTTATGATCCAGCATGGCTACATAACATGGCGATACTGGCTACGACGAGTTCGAGACGCGGACATCATCGATACTCGACGATCGAAGCTCTCCTCCGGCGATGCTACGCCTACAAGCGATGTCAAGAACCCGGAGCTTCCTTGTCGTATCCAGGTGGATCTGACTGGATTGGAATGGTTTGTGTATAATCGTAGCCCAGCCTATGATGGTATACTTGCAGGTCTTACCCAGACCTACGACCCGGAAGCTCGTTCAAGCGGGATATCAGAGAAGGACGAGACTACTACACGATCGCGAAGCAATAAGAAGGAGGGCGGGTCTGTGGCTGGCAACGAAAAAGAGACGGATGTGAAGCAGGAGTTCAGCGAACGAGCCAAGAGCATGTTCCGACGTACGACCACGGGCTTTGGAAGCGGCGAGGATGATGAACTGACCAGAGATGATGAACCCGAGCTTCCTTTTATGCTTCGACTGTTCCCTGTGCATGTTCGGTGCCAGAAAGCGGCCGCGGTCATAGGCAATGAAAACACGAAAGCCATCCTTATCGCCAAAGCGGATTCGCTGGACGTGGAAGTAGATGCTTCGGAAACAACTACACCTGATCCATATCGACAAACCTTCAAAGTTCAATTTCAGCATCCAGTTATCGAAATCAAGGAGAACGAGGACTTTAAAGAGGATCAGGTCACTCGGGCGACCCGAGACCGCGACAATACCCAAACTCAGGAGGCATTATCTAAGCGATCTTTCTTCCGCCACCATCGCCGAAAAGCCGTTAATTCGCTGCGGAATTTAGTTCCGTACTGGCGGCGGTCTGTGGAATCTTTCTCAACAGACTCACGGACTGCCATGACTACCGCAACTTCACAAGTGCCAGGGGCAAATCAATGGCAAGGGCTGACCCGTTATCTCGATGACCGCGATCGAGATGATAGAGCTCGTTGGGCATCCGTAGAGTACGCAGCTGTGACGACGATTCTCGACAGCCCTGAGGCTGTATTGACAGTATTCTGGGATGCTGTTGGCAAGGTACCTGATCAGAGTCGCTATGGGGGCGCAAAGACCTTCCCTTTCAGCATCAACGGAGACGTGCCCCCTGCTTGGGGTATGAACTTTTCGATTAAAGGAGGCACAATGAACTATGGCCCCTGGGCAGATCGCCAGAGAGCAGACTTGCAACGCTTCTTTTTCCCATCATTATGTAAAGATGTCATGCCTGCAAAACCGCTAAAACCAGGGGATTGGAGAGTTGCTACAACATTCCAACTCTACATAGAAATGGACGACGCTGTCACGCTGCGAGTTCCCATTAGAGAAGAGTCCAAGAATTGGCGCTGGCGTGGCAAAGAACCGCCCATGCGGCATGCCAAACCTCCAACCAAACGAAAGCAGAGGAACCGGACCAAGAAGAACAGCAAAACAGACGCAACGGAAATTCGGCCTGCAGGTTGGTTGGAAGTGAAGCTCCCCGCGAATTCCTCAGTCAAGTTCAACATGGATATGCTGGCTAGTCCAACAGGCTATACCACAAAACTCGATGTTGACTTGCCAAGTTCTGAGCTATGGAGCAGTGTAAACCATGATCTCTTGTGGCGATCTGGTGCTCAAACAATATCCTGTGACCTCTCAAACCCCTTAGCCTGGAATTCGCTCCGGAACTGGCACTTTAACATAACCAGCTCGAAGATGGAACTTTTCATGCTGAGAGACCATATCTTCCTACTTACAGATCTGGTTGATGACTGGACAGCTGGCCCGCCTGCCGACTATCTTGTTTTTGTGCCCTTCAAATATCATCTCAATCTAACCTTGAACTCACTACAGCTCTATCTCAACGTCAACGAAGCCAACATCATCGACAAAGCAACGGTCATTGAAGATAACACTTATCTTATCCTTTCGAGCCCTTGCTTGACTGCCGAGTCTTGCATCCCGGCCGACTCCTTCCGGCCAAGCAAGAATGCCATTCCCTTTGATGTCCATGCTGATCAGTTGGACATGACGCTTCAAGTCCCTCAATGGAACACACAGGCCGCCTTCCTTTCTTCGAAGCAACTAGGCCATATTGAAGGCCTTGCGGTGGATGGAAGTTACAACTACAATGCCACGACATCATCATCAAACACGGACACACTTATTCTCAATGTACGCGGCCAGTCACCATATGTGTACTTGTATGGGTTTTTGATTCGATACGTCATACTCTTGAAAGATAACTACTTTGGAGAATTTGTTCATTTCAGAACGCTAGATGAATACCAGAATCAGCTTCAGATGAAGAAAAAGAACCCTGACGCGGAAGCTGTAACACAACCTCCCCCCAAAAAGTCCAACGACATGGATGTCGTTCTAGGTGTCAGGATCGAGGACCTCAAGGTCATGCTACCAACGAACCTCTATTCTGCTGACCGCTATGTAGAGGGCGAGCTGGCTAGCGTCTCTGTCGATTTGCGCTTCACCAATTATTTCATGGAAGTGGAAGTCGAGGTTAGTCCTGTTAGTCTTGCGCTGGGATGTAGAGAAGGCGCTCTGGACTCCCCTGGCATGTCATCATCCAATACCCAACTCTTCATTGATGGCGTTCGACTGTTCGGCCACAAGCTCTTTGGACTGCCGCCGTCCGAACCAGCATACGTCTGCAACTGGGATGTCAATGTCGGCGGGATTACCGGAGAGTGTACATCTGAATTCCTGGTTGCAGTAGCGAAGGGTGGCAAGTCTCTTGCCTTTTGCTTCGATGATGTGGAGAACGCCCTTGTGCCGTACTCATCACTTGTCTTCTATGATATAACATTTGCTCGAGCTGCCGTGGAGTCCATTCAAGTTTGGTTGCATGTCGATGAAGCTGCTTTCTTAGTGTCAACTGATGCTATCGATGTATGCTTCAACGATTGGGCTAGATCTCATTATTCTAAGCGTGCAGATATTATCGTACCAAACATTCAGATCTCATGTCTCAATGCGGAGTCAGCGGGAAGACAAAAATCTAGATACCACCATCCTGTGGAAACAGATGCCCACTTCCGAACGACCATTCGCCTTGCCGTCATTGGACGCAAATTCAAATTCAGCGAAGAAAGAAGAACCCAGCAGGAGTTGGTTCAGAGAGAGGACCAGCGTACACATCGAGCTGAGTTTCTCCTCTTGTCGGACTACCTGGACGAATTCGTCCCGGAGGCGATTGACCCTCCAGCTCAATGTGCACCTCCCCCTCCTCATCCAGCTGTGTCCCTCGAGGGTGAGAGAGACGATGTTTCGCGGAGGACTATAGCCTCACGGCATTCCCGAGGGTTGACTCATAAGTCCTCATTCCTCTCTCTTGCCGAATCTAGCAATGGAAGCGTTGTGCTTGCACATGGCCAGCATAGAGCTCGGTCCAGATCTAAACAGGATGATTTTCTGGCAGTTAGGTCTTCTTCAACAGACAACCAACGATCCTTGAGAGCTAGAGGCTCGTTTGGCTCACATCGCTCAGCTAACGACCATGTCGCAAAAGACGATGTTGCACACTCTTCAGTCGCCTTCTCAAGCCAATATGTTTCGCCTCAATTTCCGTTGCATGGTCTGAGACCAAGCACGCATGAATTGCCTTTCCAAAGCATTGAAGAAGGCGACGACGACGGATTTGACACGATGAGCATAGGATTGGATGACATCGATCCCAACGGTCTGGGTGAAGATCACCCATATGTCAGCATGATTGTCGAATTTCCATCTGGCATGTCAGCCTTCGTTAATCCATCGGCCTTGCGTTATGCTGCATCACTCCTCGATGCTCTGCAGCCAAACGAACCAGAGACCTTATTAGATACCTTTCAAGTTGAGGCCATGACCAAGATCTTTGATCGGCAGAAGGAACGAGAAACGAAAGGCCAGATCAGGGATCTTATGGTTCGGATACCGAACGCTTCATTTCGGCTTCTCAGCTCGACAACAGAGGATTCCCCCGGCTATTCACAGGAGGAGCAAGATCAATACGACCTCTCAATCTCTAAGGTCGCTTTAATTACGCGGTTGACCAAAACCTGGGAAGATCCCTTCAGAGATGAGACACGGCACTCGAGAACGTCGCTCCAACTGCGCTTGGGATCTGCAGAGGTGTCTGCATCTGAACGTAGCCCATCCTTCCAAGAACCCCAGCCTGCAGTCATGGCACAAATCGAGGATGTAGTTGTGTCCATAGGCGAAAAAGATGTTCGCTTCATCGACGCAGATATTGGGTCAGTGGTTGGAAGTACTGCCTCGGGCAAGATCGAATACCTAGCATCTCTCATTCATCGCACTTCACTTATTGCTTCCGATATTGGACATATTTTCTCTGAAACGATAACGAAACACGAAAACCGGCACAAGCTTTTCACGTATCTGCTTCTTGACCAGGGCAAGTCAACCAACGATCCCTCTTTTCTTGTTCGACCTTCTGCGGTACTGCGATCTGCAGATGAACATCTTCGTACATCTGACTCTTGGAAACTCGCAATGCGACTTCGTCAGATCTGGACTACCATGGACTCTCATTGCAAATCTCAAATAATTCAGAAATGCTTCCACGCCACTCCCGACATACCAGAAGACGCTGCAAATTATGTGCTGAATGTGTTGGAGAAATGGCGTGGCTGGGACATGCAGGACTTGCCAAGTGCTATTATCCTTACCAATATTTTTGGACAACTCAGGGAGGCAGACATGGTCCAAGGTGACCGACTTCCTCTTCTCGGTGCTTGTAGGCTTGCTGAGCTTCAGCTCGTACTCGATCCTGGGCCAAAGCAGAACAAGATCGGTTTCATTGATCTGGCTGCGAGAATTGACCAGCAAATGCATGAAGCTGCAGTTGCCGGCGAAGCCCCTGGAGCTCCCTTCACAACTTTGAACCTATCATGCGCCGAAGCAGGCATCAACTTGAACTGGGAACTTTGTGAATTAGCTGAAGAAGTGGTACAACTATACAGCAAGAGCCAAGGTCAAGCCCAGCCAACAGCAATTATGCCGAAACCCAAGCGCCCAGCCAAACCCGATCCTGCTGCTTGGCCTCCTGTCCATGTAGTGGTGGAGGTGACAAAAGGCGCAATCGAATTAGAGACTATTAATCTCAAGGCCAGGACGTTGAGCCATGGATTAAAAATGTCTTTGCTCCATCAATCCAGCCCCAACGCCTCTAGTGCCATGAGTCTGATGCTCAATTGCAATGCCATCACTTCATCAATTCATAGCAACTCACATTCCCTGGCCATGATGCAGCTGAAGAATCCAAGCATCTTTGTGTCCCATGAACTTCAAAATACCGACAACACATCAAGCCATACAATCAAAGCCAGCGCTGGAAGTCGAAGCTTGATATTCGCAGTCAAGGAGGACCCCATTGGACTTATGGAGGTACTTGATCGTCTTTTAGGAGATGAAATACAGACAGTGTATGGCCTGAAAAACCAGCTTGCTAGCTTATTGAAGCCTAAGCCAAGGGACGCACAGAAGAAGATCGCGGATCGCCTTTCAAGCGTCAAGTTCAATCTTGCCATGTTCTTGGATGAGTACAGCATTACCATTCCCTTTCTCCAGTCTCTCACCTATAAGATCACGGGAACTGTAGCACGAGCGGCAGCGGCTGCAAATTTTGGAAAGGAGATTATTTTCGACTTTGATATCAAGGAGAACTATCATGAGATGCAGATCAATGTCAGAAACAAACCTCGGAGTATTTCACTCCTCCAGATTCCCCCAACGAATGGTCGTATCACGAGCCATATGGGCCAGACAGAGCATCAAATCAATGTCCTCTCATCTCTGGAGATAGTTCATCTGGACGCCTCTGCTGTTTACAGCCTTCTGACAGCCCTGAACAGACCTCAAATATCGAGTGCTGTCCAAGAATTACAACAGCAAACCAAGATTATCCAGGATCGCATTGCCGAGATCTTTGGCTCCGATGAGAGCGAGGTTCCTCAAACGGTACCCGAGTCTGTCGAACCAGGGCATCATAGCCTTAGGATCGTATATAATGTCCACCTGACTCTGGCTGGTCTTCAGGTTTTTGCCAAGACCTCCCTAAAGTCAGAGGTTGAACCAATGGCTCAAGTACTGTTTTCGTTAAACAGAGCCCATTTGCATGCCTCAAATCGGCATGAAGCACACGGCCCTATTCTCAAATATCCAGAGATCCATCTCAATTTGAGTCACATCGGCCTTGACATCCGCAGAGGCCCCGAAGACTCCATGAGGTCTTGTGGAAATCTAGGCGTTGGTGTAGAAGTTTCCGCTAGCTCAACGCTGAGCGACGATGGCAAAGAGGACTGGGCGTTTAATTTCACCAGTGATGATTTCGAATGCAACCTGGCCCCGGAAACCATTTCAACTGTCGTCGACGTCCTTGGTTACATGGGTGAGAAGATCAAGGACCTTGATACTTCTCGGGAATTGGATTACCTGAGAAAGCTGAGACAGTCAAAGCCCAAGATCACTATTACTGGAGACGATGAGCCAGAGGAGGTCGATATCATCGACTCAGTTCTTGCATCGGTGCAATACCAGTTCGAGCTAAGAAACATTCGTGTCCGGTGGAGCGTCGCGGATAATGTTGATGACGAATCAAGTTCCAAGGAGGATCTTGTCTTGTCAGTCAAACTCTTCGAATTCGGTACGAGAACCAGGCGATCAGCACGTCTCTCGATTGAGAACTTCCAGATCCAGATGGTGCCTCTGGGCCAGGACCTGACAATTCGATCACTTCACTCAGCATTGCTACCTGTAGTGACCTTCAACATCGCCTACATGTCGACTGCGTCTGCACGACGCATGGCGTTCCAGGCTGTTGGCGAATCCCTCGATCTTCGCCTGACATCCGCCTTCATTGTTCCAGCTGCCCACTTGGCCGAATCGATTACCCTCTCGTTGAATAATGTCGCACAAGCGTCAACACAATGGAACACTGCAGTCACAAATGAGAAGAAGGCAGACGAAACACCCAAGCGGCAGCCACAACGTAGCCTCTTCGGCAATAAGAGGTTAGAAAGCCTTCTCATTGACGCAGATTTCGCCGGTGCAGTCGTCTACATCGCCAGTAAAAGATCGTTGGACAATTCGGCCAAGACTCTGGGGCGCCCTTCACCCGCAGGAAAATACGGCCAATTTAATACAGACGATTCTGGCAGTGGGACAGTCCTGCGCAGTCCTGGTTTAGCCTGGAAGATCGAGTACCGTGATGACGCTCAAGACGACCCGTCTCTGTACGGAGAGATCAAGGTTGACGCCTCGAGCAACATTCTGTACCCTTCGGTTGTGCCACTAGTTATGGACATGTTGTCAAGCGTGAAGCAGGTTGTCAAGGATGACGAGGAAACTGAACAACTCAGCGAACAAGCAGAGTCCAAACAGCCCCCTAGCAAGTCTGGAGACGCTGATAATATCATCACTGCGGACCCGAGTGCTGTTCTGGGTCGCCTCAAGCTCAACCTGGGCCTGAGAATTTGCCGACAAGAATTTTCTCTGAGCTGTCAACCCATAGCTCGTGTTGCCGCCACAGCTTGCTTTGACAATATTTACTTCACAGTCAACACAGTCAGGTCTCTGGAGCAGGGAAATTTCTTTGCCATTTCAGGAGACTTTACGAAACTGCACGCTTCGGTGCAACATGTGTACTCACGCGAGTCAACCGCAAGTTTTGAGCTTGATTCCATTACACTATCGTTCATGAACAGTAAGCATGTAAGCGGAACCAGCGGAGTATCTGCCATCATCAATGTGAGTCCCATGGCTGTGTCCATCAACGCCAAACAAGCACAGGATTTCTTGCTGTTCCGTGAGATCTGGTATCCGAGCGAGTTACGCTCTGCTACCGCAGCACCTGTAGCAAAGATGAGCCCCGAGACGTCCCAGAGTGGACATCTTGTGCAGCGATATCAGCAGGTCGCAGCAACCGCTGCTTTCCCCTGGACTGCAACCATTTCAATTGCAGCCTTAGACGTCACCATCGATCTTGGACAGGCCATTGGTAAATCCGCCTTTGCAATCAAGAAGTTCTGGGTATCGTCTAAGAAAACGTCCGATTGGGAACAAAACCTATGTCTCGGATTTGACAAGATTGGGGTTGACTGTACTGGACGTTTGAGCGGCTTTGTAGCTCTCCAAGATTTCCGCTTACGCACTTCTATTCAATGGCCAAAACGAGAAGAAGCTCTGAACGAGACGCCTATGATTCAAGCTTCTATAAGCTTCAACGCATTCCGGGTCAAAGCGGCCTTTGATTACCAAGCTTTCTTGGTTGCTGACATTACATCGCTCGAGTTCCTCATGTACAATGTCCGTGAGAGTCTGGATGGAAGTGGAGATAGATTGGTCGCGATTTTTGACGGTGACTCTGTTCAAATCTTTGGAACAACAACCTCGGCGGCTCAGGGCATTGCACTGTGGCAGGCCGTTCAGAAACTTGTCCAAGAAAGGAAAGAGAGCTTCCAGGGCTCGCTGAAGGAGATCGAGAAGTTTATGAAGAGGAGATCAATGTCGACATCTCGAAGCACGATCCCTCAAGTCGAACAAACATCGAAGTTGAAGGAGGAGGACACACTTTCAAAGTCACCTATATCTCTCGACACAGATGTTGTGGTGACACTCAAGGCACTAAACCTGGGCGTGTTCCCGAGCACGTTTTCAGATCACCAAGTGTTCAAGGTGGAGGCGCTCAATGCATATGCCCGCTTTGCTGCAAGCATGGAGCAAAGACGCATTCATAGTATCCTGAGGATGATGTTAGGCCAGCTTCGGATCGGCCTGGCTGGCGTCCGCAATGTTGAGGCTCCAAAGACTCTGAGCGAGATCTCCGTTGAAGATGTTGTTCAACGTGCAACGGGATCTAGAGGAGGAACCATCCTCAACGTCCCCCAAGTATCAGCAGTGATGGAGACATGGCAGAAGCCTAGGTCGAACGAGATTAGCTATATCTTCAAGAGTGCATTCGAAGGAAAAGTGGAAGTTGGCTGGAATTTCTCGCGTGTGAGCTACATCCGAGGGATGTTTGCAAACCATGCAAAGGCGCTCGAGCAAGTCTGGGGCAAGGAGATACCTCTGACCGCAGTCAAGATCAGAGGAGTGCCAGGAGCGGAAGAGACAGACGGAGAACAGCAAAAGATCACAGCAGAGATCGATGTACCAATGTCTAAGTACGACTATGTGGCACTGGAGCCCCCCATTATTGAGACGCCGCAGCTTCGGGATATGGGTGAGGCAACACCGCCCCTGGAATGGATTGGCCTACATCGCGATCGATTACCAAACTTGACACATCAGATTGTCATTGTGTCACTTCTTGAGTTGGCCGGCGAGGTCGAGGACGCATACGCCCGCATCTTGGGCTCGTCGTGAGATCTGCCATCGTGATGGCAAAGAATGATATTTGAATTACTAGGCGGCGAGTGAGTCACTCGGTAATAGTAAGCAGCATGGTGAGCAAGCGAGGCGTTACGGGAGGCGTTACGGGAGGCATCAGACAATTGCAGAAAGGGATTCAGTTCATCAAGTTCATGTTTGAGTTTATTAAACATATTGCATTTGGATACATTTGGATTTTGTACCGTTTGGATGCTTCATCATCCTAAAACGAATATTTGCGCATTTATCGGTTGAACATCATCAATAGTAATGGATACCTGAGGGCACAGGAAGGATAGAAAATTCGATGCATGCAAAAGAAAACGCGGGTTCAATGGCCAGCCTGATGCTAAGCACAATGTAGTAGCTGTATGGTTGTCAACAATGTTGTCAACAATGCTGCGGAATTTTTGTCTCTGTAGATAAGGTCAAGAAGTCATTTGATATGTACTGATCCAATTCTCTCTTGGGAAAATCTGGTAATATCAGATCTTCACTACAGCATCACCAGGTGATCCTACGGGTTCCGGCTGGTCTAGCCTTCTGGTCTGCAAAGGCAAAGGAGAGCGGGACTAACGGACTCACACCCGAGAGAGCTTGTGGAATCCTCCAATGAGAGCTTACCTGGAAGCTCTTACGAGGAATCAGCTTTTCTACGGTGGTCTGAGAATATGAGACGACGGGATGATTGACAAAGGTACGGCAAATCACCAACTGTGCATGTATCTTCTCAGTGGATCCCCACCGAGAAAATACAAGATCATAAGGGCGATGGGTTGTACAGTACCTCCCAGTGGGCGAAGAGGGGTTTTCCCGTAAAGGTATGGACGGGATGAATTGTGTGGGAGGCGTAACGTTAGAGCTCTCTCTAGGTTCCCTTCCCTGCCATCTCTTCAGCTCAAGCTACAGCCCACTTCGGATATTTGTAGCCTTTTGCGGCGATGAAAAGAACAAACGCCAAAAAAGAAGGGTCCGTAAGTGATAAATCACAAAGTTGATGTCTCTCGTAACGAAAGTAATGTATCTGATGACTAGGGACCTATAAGCCACTGTAGAACTGACTTACAGTAGTAGTAAAGTGCAGGGCATGCACGTCATAGGGAGTCACTTGTATGTAACCGACTCGAGTAGAGGGGGAGGGGAGACTCGGTTTCAACTTTCAAGCTGGGCCCACGGATAATCCCCCTCCATCAGGTTGTCTCATCTTTTGGTTAGCATGGGTGATTATACTGTATGCTTGAGCTTATGCAATTTGGCAAGACACCCATGTATTCTCACAGTTTTCGCAGTGTAGGTTCTCTAGAAATAAGAGCAACTCTATACGATGAATCATTCGGTGAGACAATAAAAAAAGAGGCTAATAAATCCCCTGCCATCATGAGTGAGCTCTTGAGGAAGAGGAGGGAGGGGGAGGGGCAAGCTCCAGGGTTTTCGGTGGTGACTAAGCGTATCCCATGGGCAAAGAATCGTGCCAGGGTTGGTGCCCTCTACGATCAACCCAATTTCCCATCTTGTGCGGCCGTGACTGTGGCAATTGATCCATACCTTGCCTGGCAGCCGAGAGCTAAGCTGGGTAATTATCTCAAGCTCCCGTCAATGGACATGGATGGCAGGACATGATGCCCGCTCAGCAGACAGAATTTTAGCGGACTCATGGGCCTATCGTGACCAAGCCCAACCCCTCCACGAGGGCCTGGAGCGCCTGTTCCTTCAGCGGGTGGCAGAAAATAACTGTGTAGCGGGGTCCTCTTGAGCGGTTGCTGCCCCACCAAAAATGTGAAAAGCCCACTGTCCAATTTTTTTTCTTTCGTGCTTTAGTGGGGATGCCCTCCGCTAAGTGGTGGGCTGGGTGGTCCAACCTTGCTGCCCGTAGGCTTCTCGCCGAATGAATCTTGAGGTGCCCAAACCTACCTTACCTTACTCCTCCCCGCTCAAAACTCTTTCCTTTCTTCCCTCCCTCTTTCTCCTCCTCCAAACCTTCTCTCGCCAAAAGGGACGCATAAAGAGTGACAGTGGTTCTCCTCCGGAACTGTCTCTCTTCCATCGTCACTTGAATCGTTGCCTTCTTTCTCTCTGACGGCAATCGCTTCTTGCTTCTTCCCTTTTTCTGCGGCTCAGATCGCGGGGTGAAAACTTCAACCCCGCTCTGTTCCCACATCAACAACTTCGACTTTTGACATACACATAGTCAGGTCATCCAGACAATACCGCCAAGATGGTTAAGTAAGTAGCATCGAATCTATCATCGTCTGCCTGTCGCCGGCATCGCCTTCTCGTCGTCGGCTTCATCACTCTCTTCTCCTGCCCCATCTCCCATGATGGCAATACCCCTCCAGCTGCACCATACCCCGCTCGGACTTAAGCCGTCCGTCCTTCCATGACCATGAGCTAACCGCGATGCCTTCACTCACAATAGCTTCACGATCGACGAGATCCGGCAGCTTATGGACAAGCCTACCAATGTCCGTAACATGTCCGTTATTGCCCACGTCGACCACGGCAAGTCTACCCTGACCGACTCTCTTCTCGCCAAGGCCGGTATCATTTCTACCGCCAAGGCTGGTGATGCCCGAGCCACAGATACTCGCGCCGACGAACAGGAACGTGGTATCACCATCAAGTCTACTGCCATCTCTCTGTATGGTCAGCTTGGTGAGGATGACGACATTGCCGACATTGTTGGCCAAAAGACCGACGGAAAGGACTTCTTGATCAACCTCATTGATTCTCCCGGTCACGTTGATTTCTCTTCTGAGGTTACTGCTGCTCTCCGTGTCACTGATGGTGCTCTTGTTGTCGTCGACACCGTCGAGGGTGTCTGTGTCCAGACCGAGACTGTCCTCCGACAGGCCCTCGGTGAGCGCATCAAGCCCGTCATCATCATCAACAAGGTCGACCGTGCTCTTCTCGAGCTTCAGGTCTCCAAGGAGGATCTGTACCAGTCCTTCTCCCGAACCATCGAGTCCGTCAACGTCATCATTTCTACCTACCTTGACAAGTCTATTGGTGACATCCAGGTCTACCCCGACAAGGGTACCGTTGCCTTCGGTTCCGGTCTGCACGGCTGGGCTTTCACCGTCCGACAGTTCGCTGTCCGATACGCCAAGAAGTTCGGTGTTGACAAGAACAAGATGATGGAGCGTCTCTGGGGCGACAACTACTTCAACCCCAAGACCAAGAAGTGGACCAAGAACGGCACCTACGAGGGTAAGCAGCTCGAGCGTGCCTTCAACCAGTTCATCCTCGACCCCATCTTCAAGATCTTCTCCGCTGTTATGAACTTCAAGAAGGAGGAGACCGCCACTCTCCTCGAGAAGCTCAACCTTAAGCTTCCCGCTGAGGACCGTGAGAAGGAGGGCAAGCAGCTCCTCAAGGCTGTCATGCGAACTTTCCTTCCCGCTGCCGACTCTCTCCTCGAGATGATGATTCTCCACCTTCCTTCTCCCGCCACTGCCCAGAAGTACCGTGCTGAGACTCTGTACGAGGGTCCCCCCGATGACGAGGCCGCCATTGGTATCCGTGACTGTGACCCCAAGGGTCCTCTTATGCTTTACGTCTCCAAGATGGTGCCCACCTCCGATAAGGGTCGATTCTACGCCTTCGGTCGTGTCTTCTCCGGTACCGTCCGATCAGGTCTTAAGGTCCGCATCCAGGGTCCCAACTACGTCCCTGGCAAGAAGGAGGATCTCTTCATCAAGGCTATCCAGCGTACTGTCCTGATGATGGGTGGCAAGGTCGAGCCCATTGACGACATGCCTGCCGGTAACATTGTCGGTCTGGTCGGTATCGATCAGTTCCTTCTCAAGTCTGGTACCCTCACCACCAGCGAGACCGCCCACAACCTCAAGGTCATGAAGTTCTCCGTCTCCCCCGTCGTCCAGCGTTCCGTCCAGGTCAAGAACGCTCAGGATCTCCCCAAGCTTGTTGAGGGTCTCAAGCGTCTCTCCAAGTCCGATCCTTGTGTGTTGACCATGACCTCCGAGTCTGGTGAGCACGTTGTCGCCGGTGCTGGTGAGCTCCATCTCGAGATTTGCCTCAAGGATCTTGAGGAGGATCACGCCGGTGTTCCCCTGATCATCTCCGACCCCGTCGTCCAGTACCGTGAGACCGTTACTGCCAAGTCCAGCATTACTGCTCTGTCCAAGTCTCCCAACAAGCACAACCGTCTGTACATGGTTGCTGAGCCTATCGAGGAGGAGCTCTCTCTTGCCATCGAGGCTGGCAAGGTCAGCGCCCGTGACGATTTCAAGGCCCGTGCCCGTGTCCTCGCTGACGACTTCGGCTGGGATGTCACCGACGCCCGAAAGATCTGGACCTTCGGCCCTGACGGCACTGGTGCTAACCTGTTGGTCGACCAGACCAAGGCCGTTCAGTACCTCAACGAAATCAAGGATTCCGTTGTCTCCGGTTTCCAGTGGGCCACCCGTGAGGGTCCCGTTGCTGAGGAGCCCATGCGATCTTGCCGCTTCAACATCCTCGATGTTACCCTCCACGCTGATGCTATTCACCGTGGTGGTGGTCAGATCATCCCTACTGCCCGTCGTGTCCTGTACGCCGCCTCTCTTCTCGCCGAGCCCGCTCTTCTCGAGCCCGTGTACCTTGTCGAGATTCAGGTCCCTGAGCAGGCCATGGGTGGTGTTTACGGTGTCCTTACCCGACGACGTGGTCACGTCTTCAGCGAGGAGCAGCGACCTGGTACTCCTCTGTTCAACATCAAGGCCTACCTCCCCATTCTCGAGTCCTTCGGCTTCAACGGAGATCTCCGACAGGCCACCTCCGGACAGGCTTTCCCCCAGTCCGTCTTCGACCACTGGCAGATCCTCCCCGGTGGCTCTCCCCTCGATTCCACCACCAAGGTCGGACAAATCGTCACCACCATGCGAAAGCGCAAGGGTGTCAAGGAGCTCGTTCCTGGTGTCGAGAACGTAAGTCTAATATCCGAGTCCGGTGACTTAGGAGATATGCTAATATATCATGATAGTACTACGACAAGCTGTAAACGGCTTTTTTTTAATGCGCCGAACGAACCACGAAGCGTGCCGAGTTGGACACGCAAGATTAATCGGCTGGTAACGAAGATTTGGGACGCATGTCAAATTCCACGGAGGAGCTCCTTGATGATCTCAGGAGCGGCATGCTGAGCGGAAACCAAAAGAAAAGTCGAGTGGCTGGGTTGAAGCTGAATGTCAAGGAGAAGCTCAATTCGGCTTTTATGTAGTTATGTCGTATCTGATGAGTTGAAACACGTTAGATTGAAGTTCATATGAAGTCCTTTTCTTGTTGTGAAGTCAAGACCCAAGGTCTAAGTAAGTTGACTTGGATTAGTAGGAAACTGTGGAAGTTCAGCGGAAAACGCGGAGAATTACTTGCTATACAGGATGATCAAAATCGACTTGAGATTTTGTTGGTATACAAGATATGAGGCATATGGTTTACTGCTGGTAATCTTGAGGATAGGTCTCATTAAAAAGTGGAGCGAATCTAATGATATGGAGCTCGGGCTGTTTTGACTCTGGACTGAAAGCCTGTAACTATGTCATATCAGACGGGAGCTATCCAATTTTTGACGATTGATTGAAATATTCACATGAGCACAACTTTTCCTGGCATTTGTCTAGCGTATTATAAATCTTTCTTGTTTGATCTTATTGAGACTTATTATGTATCAAATTGATACCCGTGATCTTACTGCTTGACCTGTCACAATACAACGAAAGGCCCCAACCGCCCATGACCCAAAAAATTCAGCCTCCAACCTCAGAACGTCAACCAAACATACCTACGTACCTGACCTACCCTTGCTCTTTGTCTCGGGCGCATTCTGGCGGCTACCATTAACGGAGCGGTCGCGTTATTTGTACAATGCTGTTCTCTGAAGAAGATGCGCCTCTACTCAAGGCGTGGATAGTCAAGCGCATCGAGGATACGTCCGTAGCCTCATTTTTCCCCACGCGGTGCTGGAACGGCTCGCAGAATTGAAGACTCCGCTAACATATACAATAGCTCCGACGCCGACGCCGACGTCCTAGCCGAGTATGTTATCGCTCTTCTCAAGCACGATGGCGACGCAGACGCGGTACGAAAACTATGCGAACAGGAGATTCCTGACTTCTTAAGCGAAGGTGCGCAGTGCTACTCTCACGTTTGGGGCGATTGACCGCAGAAACTGACAGCAAGTCCATTCCACAGACCCCAAAGCTTTCCTCGACGACGTCTTCCAAGCAATCGCGTACAGATCCTACCTCCCAGGGGCTCCTCCAGCTCCAAAGATCGGAGTTGAACCAGTACAGCAACCTTTGGCCGACAGCACGACGCCGAATGGCTCAAGAAAGAGAGGTTTCTACGATCGCGAAGAATACGACCCGCAAGATGGATACGACAGTTTCAACCGTGATGGGCGTTTGCAGAAGCAACCCCGTCGAGGTGGACGTGGAGGCCGAGGTGACGACATGAGGGGAGGATGGCCTGGGGCACCCACGTATAATCTTCCTCCGCGACCCGACATGCCTTTTGATCCGAAAGTCATGGAGGCATTTCTGCAGATGGGTTCCATGGGTATGCCATACCCAGGCATGCCAAGCTTCCCGCAACAAGGCTTTGGTGGTGGTCGGGGTCAACCCCGTAGAAGAGGTCGATGTCGTGATTTTGACACCAAGGGTTTCTGTTCGCGTGGGAGCACATGCCCATATGACCATGGCAACGAGTCGATATTCGTACCCCCAGGTACCGACGCCGGTAAGTCTGGTATCACTTGTTTGTTTTGTTTGCTCGTCTAATACAAGCTCGGGTAGAGTACGACCCAAGTGATCCGTTTGCCATGTTAGCAAACGCCCCAAATAGCATGAACCCTTGGACTTTCCCACCCGATGGGGGCCGAGGCGGTCGAGGAGGTCGTCGGAACCGTGGCGCTAAGAAGGGCGGTTCGCGAGCTCCTTTCTCCGCTGAAGGGCCTAACTATGACCGTACAAAGAGTACCGTTGTGGTCGAAAATATCCCAGAAGAATCCTTCAGCGAGGAGCAAGTGCGGGAGTTCTTCTCACAATTTGGCAATATCCAGGAGATATCAATGCAGCCATACAAGCACCTCGCGATTGTTAAGTACGATAAATGGGGTTCGGCAAATGCAGCATATCAATCACCCAAAGTGATATTCGACAACAGGTTCGTCAAGGTGTTTTGGTACAAAGACAAGACCGACACACTACCAGTATCGGCCCCTTTACAAGGGGGCAATTGGTCGGGCGACCCAATGGCTGCAGAAGATGGCGAGGTCGAACCAGAAATAGACATGGAAGAGTTCCAGCGAAAGCAAGAAGAAGAACAAAAGAAGCACCAAGAGCGTGAGGCTCAGCGCGCCAAGATAGAGCAGGAGCGCCAGGAGGTAGTAAAGAAGCATCAAGAACTCCTCGCCCGCCACCGAGAGGAAAACGAGAAGCTACAGGCAAAGCTCGCCAGTCAAAGAGGCGAGGACGGCGATGCTAATTCGTCAGGTACAAGTATGCTACGCGCGAAGCTTGCGGCCCTCGAACAAGAGGCAAAGATGCTCGGTCTGGATCCCGATGCCGGGGACGAATCAAACTCATCATGGGCTCCCCGAGGTGGGTATCGGGGTCGAGGCAGCTTTCGCGCTCGTGGACGAGGAAGGGGAAGCTTCAGGGGCCGTGGAGGAGGAAACATGCACGCAGCTTATGCGCAATACTCGATTGACAACCGGCCCAAAAAGCTCGCCATCACAGGTGTTGACTTTACAGCGCCTGATAAGGATGAGAATCTTCGCCATTTTCTCCTGGTACGTTTAACATCCCTCCTTTTTCCAGGTCTCATATCGCTGACATACTAAGCAGAACCTCGGCGAGTTTGAGTCTGTCGATACAGCTCCTGAAACCACACACGTCTCTTTCCAAGATCGCAAAACAGCAGAGAAGTTCTACTATAGCTTGAATGGTAAGGAACTGCCTGGCGTTGAGGGGCGTCTTGAGCTTGCGTGGGTGAATACACCTCTGCCGCCTGTCAAGACCCTTGGCAATGATGACGTGCCCAGGCATGGTGTAGAGGACGATGCTATGGCGGACTTCGATGAGCAGCCTAGACGGGAGAAGAGCGCAGAACCACAGCGGGAAGAAAGGGCGGTGAATATGGATTATGAAGTGGCTGAGGAAGATGCATGGTGATACCTAAGGAATTTAATTGCATAGCCCTTTTGACGATAACATTCTTATTGTGTACAGCACAATCCCAGATTTGGTCGAAGAAAGGATAAGGATGGACTTTGGACATTTCACTCAAGTCACTCAAAGGGGCGGTATGGGAGAGCGCAAAGTATCATCGTAGCCCAATATCGGGACTAGATATCAAATCAATTGTTGGTTCCGAGCATCAGCAACGTCTAGCTGTTGCTTGAGCCCATCATGATAGCCAAACTTTGCCTTTAATCTTTTCCATATACCCATCATCACCCACTCTGTATAATTTCTTCCCGTTCGTTGGGAAAGAAGAAAAGTAAAAAACATAGAAAGAAAGAAATCAAATTCAGTCATGCATTCGTCCATCCATAAGGCCTTGCTGGCGGGGTATCGTTGAGATATAGAACAAGCAAAGCAAGCCCCCAAAACATAAAGTCGTCTGCGCCCGCCGGGTGATTTTTCGTATCTTGCGCCTTTTTAAAATGCTGCCCCCGTATCCCTGGTAACTTTTTGTTGAAAAAGACACCTCGGTGATGCTATTATACCCAAACCCGAAAATCAAAAAAAAATCAAAGGAAGAAAAAAAAGCAGTGGTCGTTAAAGTTAGAGGAAGTGCACAGCAACGCCCCGATGATGCATACTTGCAATCACTCTGCAACCGTAACAGAGATTTACTTTGGTCAAGATGCTGGGCATTTTGGCAAACCATTGCACCGAGTACCACTGTGTGAGAACATCTAGTTCGCAACTGCAGTGGCTGCAGTACCGTTGGCAATAGGTTCAGTATCTACGGCGCCATTACCTACAGACTCAGTCAAAGGAGTCGCAGGAGTGGTGAGATCCTTGACCTCGAGGCCCTTCAAAAGCTCGAAGATGGTTTTGTTGTCGTGGAAATCGTTGTTCACTACCATTGTTAGCATGATTTCAGAATCGGTTTTGGAACCTCTTGACTCACCGATGTTGACGAGGTACCAGTCATTCATGACACCCTCAAGCAGAGCACGGCTAGGCGAGCTCATGTCATAACAGTGAGCCCAATCAACACCCAGTCGGAATGCTTCGTCCTTCCATGCAAGGAAACTGATGCTCTCGACAATGGTTGGCTGCACGATCTCCTTGCCAGGGAAGACACCCCATGTCACTGCGTTGGGGCCATCAGATGTCACATTAGATCGGAGCTCGCCGTCCTTAGTCACAGCGTAGTAGGTCAGATCAGGGTGGTTCTCAATGCGAGTGATCATCTTGTCAAAGACATCGGGGTGCACCAGCAACTCAAGGTATGACTTCTGGTAGACATAACCGTTGTCGGGGCCCCAGCCATGGACCGGGTGAGAAGACTTGACGCCATTGACAGCAGGCTGAGAGTTCACAGTCAACAGTCCTCGCTTGTTCAGCTCAATAAGCTCCTCTCGAATCTCATCAGCCTCAGTGGTAAGAGGTGCCTCGCTCCATGGTAGAGACTCGATCTCATTTTGGAGATATCGGACGAAAAGTTGAGCAATATCCTGAATGGTCTTGGGCTCGCCCCATTTCTTGCGATTGGCCTCGTTAGTACCAGTCAAGCCAATGCCGTAAGCATCCAGCTCTCCGAAAGCAGGAGAGCGAGAATCACCCCATCGACCGTTGGGGAACTCGTCCCAATCCTGTGTGCGAATAACATAAGACTTGTTGCGGTTTCTCCAAAAAATGGGCCGAACATCCTCCTCGCGGCGGCCAAGTCCTTTGGACTGTTTCCAGGGGAGAGCCTGTTGAAGAGGACGCTCAGCGCAAGGAGCCCATTGGAGCTCCTCAAGTAACATACGTGTAGCCTGGGCAAGGTTCATAGTATAGAAGTGAAGGTGGTGAATCCCGTTGGCGAGCAACTTTCGGCACATGTTGGCAACCAGGGTCTTTCCGATATTTCTGACAGCGACATCGTCGTTCTTAACAGGCTCAAGTGCATCGAGCCATTCTTGAGGGATCTTGGCCTGCATATGGTTTGCTCGTCGAAGGAAGCTGGCATATGTAGCTATAGGCATGATACCGGGGAGGATAGGGATAGTGATGCCACGCTCACGAACACGCTTCACCCAGCGAATGAAGTTATCAGCATCGTAGAACATCTGTGTGACAATGAAACTGGCGCCCATGTCAACCTTCTCCTTGAGATGGTCAAGTAATTCGTCCTCATTCTTGTTGTCATCGGAACCCTCAGGATAACCAGCAACACCGATGTCGAAGTGGTTGCCGTAGGTATCGCGGATGTGTTTGACGAGATCACGGGCATACTGAAAGCCTCCGTCCGCAGCAGTCCACTTGTCTTGAGCTCGCGGGGGATCACCACGTAGGGCCAGAATGTTGGTGCACCCGGCTTTGTACGCTTTAAGAAGGGCATCATTGACCTTCTCAACACCCATGTCAGTGCAGGTCAGATGCATGCAAGTTTCGAGGCCGTAGACAGCTTGAGCCTGGAGTACCATCTCGCAAGTGAGTTCGGCAATTCTACCACCAGCACCCCATGTGATGTCGATGAACTTGGGACCCAGGTTGTACATGCGATCCATACGGTCGTAAAGGTTCTGAACACCTTGGGCGGTCTTGGGAGGGAAGTACTCGAAAGAGAAGGAGGGCTGGCCGCTCCTCTCGGCGTCGCTGAGCATATCCTTGATATGCATGGTGAAATCGGTTGGCGAGGAACTGTTCGACTGTATAATTTATGCCGAGTTGTATGTATATTTGACCAGAGAACAATGGTGATTCGTTACGAAGGAAGAGTTGGGCGTGATGGCCGTGGCGGGTCGAAGCTTGGATCAGAGAGCTGGAGTATGGGGAGATTGTGGGGGAGGGGAACTGTAACGACGACTGACAAGGAATCCTATGTTAGCAATTTCAGCTACAGATTAGGTGGAGAGGTATTGCGGCGATGCTGGTATAAACTAACGTATATTGTACTGTTTGAAGCCCGGTTCTGAGGTTTTGCGCTGCAACTCCAGACGAGGCGGTGGAAACGATGATCTGTATTGACCTTTCGATTTCCCTCTCTCAATCCGTTGGACGAGAAGCAGCAGCAGGGGGTTAAGTGTTTACGTGGTACCAGGACCCAACTTGACAAATGACAGCCAATTCTATTTGAAGAACGAAGAGGAGGTTATATATTGAGCGACAGATGACGAGTAGGAAAGAAGAGAGAGAGAGAGAGAAGAGAGAGAGAAGAAAGAAAACCGAGTACGGTCAGAAAAGCGTTCCACGTCGTTCCTTCCTTCTAACTAATAATTGTCCAGTAAATTTCTCCTCTCCCCCGCCGAGCGCCTCTAAGATGCCCCTCCTTCCTCCAGAAACTCCCCAGTGGGGTTCCGTTTTTACCTCCGATGCATGAATCGTGTCTGCTCATTGGCGGATGCAGATGCGTTCATTTGATCTCAGCGCCGTTCCCGGGCATCGGAAGCCGAGAGGCTCTGGGGAGCTCAGGGCATCGAACCAGTGAGGATGCCGCTAAAGCTGCTCCAGGCTAACGATGGAAGTGAGCTTCCAAACGTTGCAATTTTTTATTTTAAGCTCAAGAACTCGGAGTCATAAATCGACGCTCACCTCCACTTGATACTATGTAGATAGGTACCTACAGCGGCCGTTGAATTGGTTTCCATTGTACTCGGCTGCGCCTCTTTTGATCGGTGAGAAACCCAGGACAATGGAGCGTGCGGCAACATCTGCAATGAGCCTGGAAACTGTGGACTTGATGGGTTCTGTTTGGCTGAAGCAGTTCACGACATCCCACTCTGCTTCGACTTGCAGCGTGCGGTTTGCAGCCATCTTCCGAGAGGTCCTGCCTAGGGGAGGAAAGAAAACTCAGGACCTTGATCCTAAGTGATAAAAGTATTTAGGTAAATCTAGTCTAAGTTTAGGGGACTCTTTGCTAAGTTATTTTGACACCCTATATCAAGGCTTGGTGTTTTCTTACCCCCTGAGGCCTGCCAATGATCTCTGAGGTATGTCTCCTCTCTCCCCCAACGTCAACGTCGAGGGGTCCCCTGCTGCGGAGCAAGGGTCCAGCAAATGGACGAATCATCACCCGAGGACCCTTATAACCCCTCCGTCATGATGCTGAGCTACCACCTAGTGGTGTCACTGTCAGACCGGTGAGTGAACCTAAAGGTCCAAAACTCTACTTTAACAACGATTGATCTAAGCATCAAAGCTCCTCCTAGATGTCTATTATTCTTTGGGTTGATCAATGGGCTCAAATTATAGTCAACCTGCGAGGGTTATCGAGAAGAGTATATGGGTCTATGCCGATAGGTAGAAGGCTGTTGAACCTCGGGCTTACATGTTCATCTTTCAATCGTGCTCAATTAACTTTAACGTCATCAAATAGATACATATCGCTATTCTATAGTCTTACAGGTCTCTTAATATTCATAGAATGTCTGTACATCCTGCCTACCTACTAACAACTTCAGTGACACATCATGATGCTCCAGTTGTAGCAGATGATGTACTTGCAGTCGGGCTCGAACCAGGACTTCCACTTTTCAATAGCAGTGGCGGCGCTCCCCTTGCCCTTCGCCAACGGTTACTTGTGCTGATAATGCTGTTGTCAAACAAAAACCACCATCTTTCAAACATAACCTGCCCCAGCTCCCAATTACCTGGATCGTATGGATCGTCACCATAAATTCTAACTCCTTCGGCTGTATCCTCAACATCATAGGCAAAGTTGACGATCGCCAATGCGCCCTGGGCTCGTGGTGGCCGTAACTCGTCGGGCAATGACAAGATGAAGATGGCACGCTCTCTGACACCTGGCCAAGGCAGAAGGTCAATCACTGGATGGTGTGGTATCGCAACTTGTGATGGAGTAGGCTGCCATGATGGAGGCAGTAGAGATGCTGGAGTTGCAGTCCCTGTGTTAAATGCCGAGTTGCCCCCCAAATCCCAAAGGTCTGGCTTCAGGTTCAGACGGTCTGCTATTCGCATAACAGCCTTGAGAAGTGTAAGCTGTAGTAGAGGTAGTTGATAACTATCAGGAAACGTCTGCCCTTCCGATGACGGGGATGGAGAGCTGAGTGATGATGAATCAATAAACATTGTCATATCGGCTCCGGCAAAATCTGCAGACAAGTCATGATGAGTATTTTTTACCGAATCGCCCCTGTTATTGTCTTCATGTAAGTATCTGGGTACTGTATTTGGGTCTGGAAGAATAGGCGCAAATGCCAAATCTTGGAGGGGGTTTCCGAGGGTGTTCCAAGATGTCAGATTAAGATCAAACCCAGCCAAGATGTCAGCATCTGTCGTGGGAGGGATTGACAGGTTGGGTTCTGGAATTGTGGATCCCAGACTGCTCTGCAGAGTCGGAATTTCATACACATCGTCTTTTGATACTCTGCCTTCGGGGTTTGGAACTGTTTCGTCCTGAGGTTCGGAGTTTTGAGACCGATTGCTACCAGCTGACTTGGTCTTAAGACGATCTAGCCGTTTCTTTTCACCTATATACCTGTCAGATCTCAAGCTTGTTTGGTTACAGGAAAGCGACGACTCACGATATCTTCTTTGTGCGAGAACGTTTAAAACTCGTTTCCTCTCCGCGGCATCTTCATCAATGTTGGGAACATCAAGAGCAGGTGGCTTCTTATACGCTCGTTGCCGCGTTCGAGGACGATTCGTCAACATTGCGGTTGGTTCTTTTATTCAGCTTTTTATTCTCGGAACTTGTGTATGCGAGTAGAAGCCGATTTCAGTCATAAATCCTGCCAGCCACGAGAATAATTGAAAAGTTTCCCGGTCAAGAAGTGGTAGAAACCTGTTGCTTTTCAAGTCATAAACGATGGCGTTCGTGATCTCCACTGAGCATAACGCGTAGGAATAAGCTAGCCTGTGCACTGTCTTAGCATAACGGATAACAGAAACCTCTAGCCCCAGCCAAAGCCTCGAGACTGCTCGGTATATCCCATCGCAGCGGAGCTCAACATCTGGTAATCACTGTGCACTGGACACTGTGTAATAATCCTTAATGTTGGTCCGACTTCACCTCACTTAGTCCACGGCATTTCTCTGATTCCATCCTAAATCTTTGCTCTTTATAATTTCGGACTGTTTCTTTTCTTTTCGTCAGCTCATATGTTCAGGGAATTTGTCGCAGATACTCTTCCTGTAAAAGCCATTATCTGTCCATTAGATGAGTGAGGGAGTAATCGATTCGAGATATTTCGTGAGTGGAAGGCATAGTTTTACATGTGGCAGAGGAAGCGCCCGGTCTCTTTAGGTTTCGGCTCACTTGTTATCCTTTGAAGTTAGATAGAATATCAAAGGGAGAATCGCCCTTTTTGTACGTTTCGACCTGCTTGAAACCCACTGAGCATAACCTAGAAACATAACGCGAGAGCGCATGAAAAGGTCGTTTGAATTAATTACAGCTGCGTTGTCTTGACATGAAATCTCACAAATAGAGATTCCATCAAAGCATCCACGATATGGCAATGAGAAACTGCTGTTTGAAGGACCTGGAGTGCTCACAGCCATTTCATGCCATCAAATAGAAGAGAATACCCTACGCCCAGCTCATGAACCTGGTTAATTCTGTCGAAATACTCAGGCAACATCTAATCTTGATTTATGAAAACACGTAAGTAAATATGAAAATGTCGTCATTTTGTTTCTGAAAAACTAGAATAAGCATGTTCGACCAAGAATACTCTTTGTCATAGTGATCATCGTTCATTCTCTTGTGGCATGGAAGATATTGGCTAATGGGCAGCCTAACCTCACCGCCTCCAAACTCGGGTTACCAAAGGTACAATGGTTCTATGTGGCTCCTTACAATTGTTCCGTGCAGTGTTGCTACAGAGACATTGATCGCCTCGCTGAACTGCGTGCAAGCGTGCTGTACAGTTGCACTATCTCGTATCTGTCTGCCTTCTTAAGATAACCAAGAACCTTTGAGGATCAACTGAGGCACATGACGATGTAAGGTGACATCTTACTCATTAAAATCCGACTCGGGGACCACGGCAGTGGGCTTGATGTGTGTGGAGTGGTTAAAGCTGATGCCGTGCAACCAGCAACGCCAGAGACAGCTGCTGGGTGGAGTGGCTACCGGCCGGGAGTTGCGACGGATGGCTGCATTGAATCATGCTGTGTATCCTAACTGAGTCTCTTTTCGTACCAAGATCGGTGTTGACTCGAAGAAACCTACTTGGCTGACCGAATCCGCCTTTTTTCTTGCATCCCTCCGAAGCCAAGGATGTGATGGGTGAAGGAGGTAACGCAACGGGCAATTTCAAGTCAAATCCTCCGTCGTGAGAGAGAGAGAGAGAGAGAGAGAGAGAGAGAGATAGTATCACGCTGTTGCCCGTATATGCTACCAAGCATAAGCACTCGTGTATACGGGATGAGGTGCCGGAGTCCGTTGTGACAGATATTTCCTGTTTAGGCAATCATTGTGGAGTCCGTTCCGTCCGCCTCCGTTGCCGGCTCCGGGCATCTGCTCCAAGGCTGATCACGTTATAAATGCAAGTATGCTTCTATTTTTAAACATGTATACGAAATATTGAGTTTGATGTCGATCCCTTGATGTCGAAGGTTGATCTTAAGCAGCGCCGGTTCGTTTTCCCTGCCATCGACGTCAGGGACGGCCGATCAGTGATGTACGTTGGGCGATCCAGCGGCTTCCACGCGGTGGATGTTACTGGCATACGGCAGACGCTTGCATGAGAGCAAATAAGATAACGTGGTATATGTCTTTGGTAAGTCAAAATCGGCACTTGATGCGAATTGCTCATGTCCCGTGATGCAATGCGCAACGTGGGAGTCCGATGAAGGCGAGACCGCTATTCTTATAACTCCAAGTAAACGGTTGAGCAGCAGACACGAGCGTTACACAAGCTTCCTGAGGCCGGTAATACCGTTGATACAATCGTCTAGGAGATCAACCGCAGCTCCTTCTGGGCCCGGTTTTTTGTTTACTAGTAATACAAGCCACCTGCAAGTTGACAGTATTTTTTGGACGCCCGATGGGCCGAATTTGTATCACGGGTTGGCTGATGACTCCCGAAGGTCTTTGACTGGGAGGTTGATTATGAGATGACGAGTTGACCAAATATCTTGATCAACACAACACAAGCAATCAATACGGCCGGTAACGGGTGAGAGCTTGATACAATTGAATGAGTATGTTCGGGTTGAAGCTGCGGCGGTATCGCGGGGGCCAACGCCATCACGAGGCTTTGCGTGTCATACGTTGCTTTGTCGTAAAGAGTGAAACCGAAAAATTATCAATGGCTTGCCGTAATAACTTCTGATATATAAAAAGCTGTATCCCAGACGTCAGCTGCTATTAGTTCTCGATCAAACGATTCAGAGTATCCAGACCTATAACTTTTGATTAGCCTCTTCTATTTTCATTCCTATCAACGCTCACCATCACCTAATCCTCAGAATGAAGGCATCCTTTGCACTTTTCGTCTTGTCGTTCTTCTACACGCACTGTCTCGCTGCCTCAGTCGACATGTGGTCTTCACCACTCAAGGAGCGAGCTGCACTCAAGTACGAAGCCATCGAGCCTGAAATTGTTAAGGCTCGCATTGGTACTACTCCTGGCGAGAACAGTGAGGGGGACCGAGAGTCTGGCATGGTAGGATTGAAGTGTTCTCAGCAGATTGCATTTACTAAAAACATCTCAGGTTTACTTCTGCCGTGAGGAGAACTGGGGAGCTCCATGTTTCGCCTACCGTCCTGAACTTGAATATACATGCAACGAGCTAGGCCCTGAGCTTAAAGGACACATCGGATCTGTTTTCGTTGATCCTGGCATGATCTGCCGTCTAGCTGGGTATGTTGTACAACTCGTGTGTCTGTATGCGACTGACAAAGCAAGATTCAACAATGATCGATGTGCCCCGATCAAAATATTTGCCTGGCCCGAGACCCAGCACGGCTGGCCTGACCTATTTCATCAGAACGCCCCAGGAGGAGCTATCAAGCTCGGAGCTGCAACAACACACTTCACATGCGCTGAGTGTACCAATTGCGTTAAGAAATCTGGGTAAGATAGGCGGAACATTTGTGATTGATGTCGTGGAAGAAATGGAAGTTTAAGGAGGGACTGATAATCGACCTGGACATATTAATCTTGAGCAGGTGTGATCAAATTAATAAGCTCTAATAAAAATATTTCTTAGCTCATAAATTAGTAGTTCATGTCCTCATGGAAGCTGATCTATTGTGGTTGCCTCTACTGGATGCTTGTGATACACATTGTCGTTACTCTATGAACTCGGAATGATCGAGCCAGCTATATTGCAAACTAGTTGACACTGTTCTATCGAATTAGAAGGCTTCCGTAGCTCAGTTGGTTAGAGCGTCGTACTAATACTTCATTCCGAGTATCCGGTAATGCGAAGGTCTCAGGTTCAAGCCCTGGCGGGAGCAATCCCAGTGCCCTCTGATTCGTTTTTGCTATTTGAAACATCTCACGTACCTAGTTGTTAGCACAAGATGGTGATATCTTTCTTTTTTTCATTCCCCTACATCGATTTCCGTTAAGGCTTTCTTTCCGAAGGCAAGTAGACAATAAATAACATTTATACCTACCTAAGGTACTAAGGTAAGTAGTTACATTTTCTCCATCAGCTACCTTAGGTACTAACTCGTGCTAACCTAGAGGTATGCACTTGCCTTGTATTTCTCATCTGCCACAGAGGTAGGAGTAACTGTCTGACGTTGGCCTAGCTATTGCTACACTTACTTGACTACATTTACTTGGAATTACCTACCTTACCTTAGGTATTCATCAGACTCTCAACTGGCACACTTCGTCTTCTTTTCCCATCTTCAACAACTCAACCCCATTTGAGACTTACCACCCATCAGCTGATTTTATTAGTGATACATACACATATATCATCACCATGGATCACACCTTTACACTTCCAGTCCGGTCCCGCCCTCTCGGCCTCAAACTAGGTGATGCACTGGACTCCTATAACAATAATACTATCTCAGGTACACAGCTGAACGAACTTAATGTACAAAAAAGAGCACCCATTACCCGGAAGAAACTGGAGGATCTGGAAAACATCAGGCCAGCAGCATCCTAGAGAGATCCCCGGTCGAATGAGCAATCTTTCCCCGAGGCTGAGGCACGTCCGCATCCGAGCACTCGAACGACCTCCAGACAAGACGCATTTCTTCAGAATGGAGCTCTACTACCAGTTACCCACCGCGACCACTTTCGTGAAGAAACCCAGATGAACGATGCATCCGATAAACAAACCCGCAAACCATCAACGACTGATATCATTTCAGACCAGCTCTCTATCCTACAAATGGTGAGAGATAACCTGAGACCTATGAGGTCACAAACTCCCTCTCCAGAGTCCGTGCATAGAGCTCCAAGGAGCACATCTTCATCATACCATGACCAAGGTACTGGATTTAATGATGTGCCATCACCAGCATCAGACACTCGCATGCCAAGCTTGGACTTGGGCGATTTGACGAAATACAGTCGCTTCAACGACAGGCTATCTGGCCTGAGATCTTCATCAAGCTCTTCTGTTGCTGCGAGAGCTCTGAATCAAGGAAGCACCCACGGGGCAGGAGTTGATGAGACACTAGCTTTCGGGCACTTGCAACGACTACCCATCCAGTCCTACCACTCCTTTGAGATTGTATCAAGTTCCGAAGACCTACAGTCAAATGTGACGCCTGCTCAGAAGACCATGACGAGACAGCCTTCATTGGAAGACACTACCGGGTTTGGAAGGACTTACCCCCTGACACCAGTGAAGGCCCGAATCCGACCCCAGCTTGATAGCCCAGCAGAAGAACGGTACTCAGAAAGTCCTAGCCCGTCAACCAAACCGCCACGGGTGGAAAGAAGAAGCAAGAGAAAATCTTCTGTCATGTCTCTTCGAAGCTTGACAGAGGGTGTGAAACGGACTCGAGCCGGTGTTGAGAAATTGGCACACAATATTTGTTATAACAGCTGCAGTAAACTTCGCCATGCCCATCAGAGTGTCAGGCGTCAACATAAAGAGCAGAGAAAACACCACTCGGTTTGGAAGGCACTGCGCCGCAAACTTAGACCTGAGGATGCCAGCAAGCCCAAGCATGAGAAAGCATCTGCGTCTTTCTCTATCGAACAAGGCGGGCATGGAACTGAGTCCTGGTGGAAAGCCGGCGTAGAGAAGTATCACGCCCCCAAGTGGATGCGCTTCGGGAAATAGATTATAAATAACTTCCATGGCAACTCGCGAGAAAATCAAGTTACAAACGGTATTAGCCTAGCATCATGAGGCGTTGGCTAGCAGCAAGAAGAAGAAATTGTACATGGTCTATCTATCAAGTTTACCTCGGTAGCAATCGATCCATGAATAATACATTCCTATGAACTGCGAGGTTGGAACTAAGTTATTGAGATTGCCCTACAACATGTATCGAAAGACAACAGCCGCTGATCTGCGTCTCCCAGGGCCAACGAGGCCTTCTTCCTCAACCTCGCCACCCCCCTGCTGACGCTCACTCTCAGCCCGGTCAAATTTACGATTTTGATACTTGAGATAAAAGCGAAGAGCATACGCTAGGATGGAGACCAGAAGCATAGCGATAGCACATGTGCTCATCCCAGGCGCATAATAGGGAGCATCTCGATCCGGATACAATCTGGTACCCACGAGCGGCCCGCACTGACCGACGAGTTGGAGGAGAGCGAAGCCACCGCCCTGACGGCTCTGGTTGGCTTGGTTGTTGATGCTCCATGTAATGATGAGAGTGACGACATTGAAAAAGCCTATAGCGGCAGGATATACGGCCATGTAACGGATGAAATTAGGAAGATTAAGGGGTTTGGCCAAAGCCAGGACGGCGTAGCCACTTGATGAAGCGAGGGCATGGAATATTAGAGGTACCGTGCGTGTTCGCAGGCGATCAGACATATGCGCTGTGAAGAGGACGATGACAAAAGCCGCCAAGTACGGGGGAGCACTGAGAGCTTGAGAAGTGAGAGTATCGTGACCCATCTCAGTGAGTATCTTGGGGAGGAAGACGGGGAGAGAGGAGTAAGCCATGTTGGTGAGGAAGAACATGGTTGCAGTGATCCACGCAACGGGGTCGCGAAATATGGCTAGAACATCGCGACCTTTGAGACCAGACGAAGGCTTATTGTTTGTGGCCGTTGACTGCTCGCTGCGAAGGCGCAGATGAGCAACCTTTTTCTCACGCTTGGTCAAGTAAGGCGCTGTCTGCGGAGAGTCGGGGATTACGTTCCAGGCTACTACAGACGCGATGACTGACGGGAACCCCTCAAGGATGAATAGAAGACGCCATGGGGCAATAGGGCCAAACTCAGCAAACTTAACGATGAGCCAGGCGAGCGTTGAGGCAAACGTCGTAGCTAAGGGTGCCGCTGCGACAGCTGTAAGCCTTTCTCCTTAACCACCCCAAAAGGGGATTACATACCAGATATGAAAATAGCAGTCCGGAATGCAAGCTCCTCTCGTTTGAAGAAGAAACTCAAGTAAAACGGAATTCCCGTGAAGCCAGCCTCTCCGATTCCAAGGACAGCGCGCAGCGCAATCAACATGGGATAAGACGTCGCGACAGCTTGGAGGGACGCCGTAAGACCCCAGGTCAGAACCACCATCGACACGAATATATGCGCCGGAATGAGCTTCCACAGAAGCGACATCCATTCAAAAGCAATGTAAGTGATATAAAACGCCGTGAGGGCCCATTGGTACCACTCATCGCGGGGTGGGTCAGACTGGAGATCTTCATCCATACCAGCTATACGAGCATTGCCGATATCTGGATTTGTTAGCGCATTGTTGTCGATCGATCGCAAAAAGGTAGGCGAGTCGTACTGGATCTGTCGACAAAGCTCAACATGTAAAGGAGAGCGACGAACAAGACAAGCTTGCGATCAAACTTCCTCCGCACGGCTTGTTCTTCATCAGGGGTATAGAGCTGGAAACTCGCCATAGAGCCAGGACTTCGCGAGCGCTCTCCTACGAGAGGATGGCCTACATCTCCATCCTCTGCAGCTTCGGCATCCCATATTGCGCTTCCGTGTCTATCTCTGCCCGCATTCCTCTCATGCAGCTCGTAAACATCGCTTCCACTGCCAACGGCCGACCGAAGATCTTCGTCGTCGCTATCATCGAGCGAGGGCTCAGCACCGGTTTGCGCAAACGCTTCAACCGACGTACTGGGGCCAGGTTCGGGCCGCGACAGGGCCATTTTATATGAGGCGGTTCCTAAGAACCCAGGGCGATGTGGAAAGAGACAATGGCGGGAGGCTAGATTGGACTGGGACTCGGGCCTCGAGCTTCAATGTCGTCGAGGTTCGGTATGGTTGGAGAGTTATTTGGAGACCATCAGGGACTCCAATCAATTGATATCATGAGTTGCATCCTTATTTGACGGAAGCGGACTGTCAAACAGATCGAACAGGGTAAGATAGGATTGGAGTTGTTGACTAAGGTAGTAACTTTATTTAAGTAAGGTACCTAGTATGCTGGATAATCGAGTCGAGCTGTCTTGCTTGACTTACACGTGACGTGCATCAACTCCTTGCATGACCATCCACATCTATCCGTACCTGGCTGGGTCTGGTAAAGGAGCTTTACCCTCATTTCATTTCGCATCTTGAAAATGTCACTGTAACAAGACGTTCATTTTGATTGCTAATTGCAGATCATATACTACGTACGTAATTAAATATCTGCATCAAGATACTGTACATTTTTGAAGAATCTCGTTCCGCTACTCTTACATCATGACGATCCATCATGGGTACTTAGAATGTTACGACTTACAAAGTTCGACGCTTTTCCATAAGTCAACAGCAACACATATCCCTCAGTGGTAAATCCAACCCTTCGAAATGAGACGCTCTAAGTTGCAGTCAAGATCAAACCCGAAATGAAAGTTCAAAACCAGCAATTCATGCTTACTCTCCGTCTCCTTTAATGATGATGGCCCGCCTTGGCATGAGATGGCTTCCTGAACAGCTTCTTAAGCCCTTCGGCCACTGAATGGCTGCGACCAATTCGTTGTTTAGGATGCTTTCCGTCTTCACTTGCCTGACCACCGCTGTGATCTGTAGATACACTAGTTTGTCGACTTTGAGTCGTCACAGCCACTGGCTGTGGTGCACGCAACCTCACCCCACGTGCTAAATCTCGTGGCGCGCTCGGTTTTGAACTGACACCCGCATTGTAGTCAGATGCAAGAGATGGTGTAGGCTCTAATGTCAGCTCCTCCCTTTCCAGTTCCTGCAGAGAGGTTGGTGCCTCATAACGATGCGGCATTGATAACATTCTGGCATGAGCTTTCGATGATGGCGTTCCCTTTTCTGGCGCCGTTTGTGGTCTTTTCTGTGAATTTCCCCCCGATGCACCTCGAGGCTTTGGTGGCGTAGGTGGGCGACGAGGCGTCTTTATTTCTGGTTCTGGCGGTAATGGTACATTTGATATTCGGATGTTCTTAGGGACACTTCTCGGTAAGCGAGACTTTGGCGACCTTTGTGCAGTTGGCTGGGCAGTTGGGTTTCTGGGAGGTGTTCTCAAGACAGGATTGATTGTTTTCCGAGTAGCCGATGTTGGGGTTGTGGCACTTGTTGGTGGCTTCGAAGCCGGCTCTTTTGCTGCTTTCGTGTCTAAGGTCGGCAATACCACCTGTTTGGTTTTTGGCATTGGTGTCGATGATGGCTGCTGTTCGGAAATTGTGTCACCAGCTTCATACAATATGCCAGAACTTTGTTGTTCTAGGCGTGCTGGGTTCGGTGACACCAACAATGGTGGAGCGTGTGGCACTATCCCCTCAAACTTGGGCATGTTTGATCCAAAATTCTGTGGTTGTGGTGAATACTCCGATGTAGGCGAGGGTGTTCGAGGAGGAACAAGCTCTTTGGGTACGTTCAAATAGGTACCTAGGCTGTCCTTTGGACTCATGATTGATGTAACATATGGATACGGAGTGTCTTGATTATGAAATGTACTCGATCCTGAGGATTCAAGTGGGGAGTCTGATGATAATGGCCAGGCTGTCTCTGGGGGCTTTACATTTTCCGCCCTGCTAGGAGTATTTGGCCTCGGAGACACTTCTTCAAAGCCATCTATAGGTGGTAACACAGGCGAGAAAGGGGGCACAAAGCTTTCGGGCCTGTAGATCGTTGGGGCTGGCAGCTGCCGTTGCAGCGGTTTGGGCGTTGGAGGCGTCGACGATCTAGACGAATGAAGCTCGTTTGGTTTGAGAGGTTGCTTTACACCCGATATCTCTCCGCGTATGGGATCCTGCACTGATGAATGTATGTAATCAAACTCTTCTGGTTCAACTCTAGATTGCCCATATGCAGAATATATCTCCGAGGCGGTCGAAACCGAATATCGTGTATTATCCGGGTGAAGAAGCGGTATCTCAACATCTGGTGTTTCCAGCGCTAGGGCATTATCTAGAGAATCTTTTCGAGACCATGCTGAAGATGCTGTAGACACGGATTTCCTCTTCTTATCGAGTTCATGAGGCTGGAGAGGTGCATCAATATCTGGTGTTTCCTGCCTTGCTGTTCCGTTAGGTGACTCATCCTGAGACCAGACTGTTGATATTGTCAAAACTGAAGCCCGACTGGGGTCGAGTTGAGACTGGAGCGGGATATCAATATCTGGCAATGTCCTCGAAAGTGGCCTGGGCGTTGCAGCACCATCTGGTCCGCCTAAAATGCCATCTAGGACGGTGAGAGCATCTTTTCCATCTTCCTCTCGGTCGTTGTCGTCGTCGTACTCGGATGGTGAATCAGAAAGCCCCTCCAAAGCGTCTTTTGTTCGTCGGTTGCGCACCATGGTTTGTGCCGCGTCCCTTATCTGCTCATAGCCAACCTCTTTTTCTTCCTCGTCACTCTTACCAGGGACTTCCCTCACATCATCACCGCAGACTACGACGTACCACCGCACGGGTTCGCCCTTTTGCAATTCATTCCTTAATTTTATGATCCACCCATCTTCGCCGGCCATTTTGTCGTAGTACTTGGCCATCTGACCTGCCACGTCCACACTGAGGTCGACTCGTACCACATAATCAGCCACATAAGCATATGGTCTGCATGCCGTCACCATTTCGTCTACATCGAATTCCTCCAGCAATTTGACCGGTGACCATGAGTGCATAAGAACGGCATCCTCGGCATCGGATACACGCGATGTCGGGAGAGCATGGTCGTCGTCAGCAT